TGGAAGAATAACCAGGTAGACATTGAAAGAGAAAGTATCCCCAGGTTTACACGTTCTAATCATTAACCAGTCTTTTGCACCTTGGGAAGCGAACTATTAATTATGACTTGAATGCTGTATATGACCTATATTTTCTAGATGAATTATCAGATTTTGGAGCAGGTTCATTCTCAAGTAATTGAGAAGTAATTGTGCCTTGACCATTCATGCATAAATGGACCTTTGGATGCAACCTACCTATACTTTCAATGCTGCAAATGTTACATTTTTTTTCTTCGGAAAGCAATACTGAAGTGGATTTCAGTCTCACATTGACCAACCTTAATTGTAACATTTATAGGGTGGTATGAATCCTACATGTACCTAACTTACAACTAGTGATGCATATAAGTAATAATTAATGCTTTGGATGCTGCTTGTGACCTACATTTTTTTCAAATGAGTGAAAAGGTCTGATATGTATATATTTTTAAAAAGGAAAAAAGAAAAAAAAGGAGATCTATTTTCACGTTAAAACATGATAAAACATACAGTGATGTTCCTTAATCATATCATTACTATAAGAATGCAGTTGTCATGCATGTTAGGAAATGGACAATCTACATATGTAGGTCATGTAAAGAGGATGGCAAAGAAATGAGGCAATATCATCTTCCAGTGTACATAAACTAGTTTAATGTTAGACATTAATGACAGTGTACAAAACACTAATTAACACAGGAAAACTGCATGATATGCTCCTAAAATATCAAGGTCTGCTTTTTGACAGAAACTTTAAATGTTCCATTAATAAAAAACTTAACAAGTTGAAAATATGATATTAATACATTTCCTGGTGCTAAAAAGGCACTGAATTTTCTCGGTAAATTCTTACCCTTATTTACGTCACATCATTATTTCCACCCCCCACCCCCCCCCCCCCCCCCCCCAAAAAATATGAATTATATTAAATGTTTGCCCTAAATACTATCTGCACAATAATTTGCACATCCTTCAATTTTTGATGATGTTTCAAAGGGGGAAAAAATTATAATCCCAGATCAAACGCTCAAATTTACGTTTAAGGGAAAGGGAGAGAGGGGAAATCCTACAGCCTTAGATATAACTACATGTATAAGATCAGCTTACTGAAGTGTTATATAAGGCTACTGCCGGACAGATACAATTGACAATTATTTTTTTGTCCTAAGAGGATTATGACAACACGCGAGTGTTCTTCATTTTGATCCCATTATGTATTAAAATACATTTGAAAATTCTTCTGCTTACTAAATTAAGATTTTCATATATATAATAATGTTCAACATATATACATTATAACTTTGTGACTGGTTATTGCATGCTTTATGTAACAGTTCTAGTTATTGATTTTGTCTACTTTGGATATACAGTTGAACTTGGGTATCTCGAACACTGATATCTTGAAATAATCTAGAAGTCCCAATCACTTATTATTTTACCCTCATTATCTCTATTCCTCAGATATCTCAAAGTTTTTTCTCTGTCTCATTGGGTTCGAGTTGATGAGTTTTGACTGTATTGAAGTTCAATGGACCAACTCTTTTTAGAAGTTCAAAAATTGCAAAATTGGCCTATGAATACATTTTAAAATCCTGATCCGCATCTAAACATGCAGACAAATCCAAACCAATTACATGGTAAAATTTACAACACTTGAATAGTGAAATGATATAGTTGTTCATTTACGATTTATTTTCAAAAACGTCCTACATTTTCCAACCTCAGTATAATTTCCTGATCTTAATCTTTATCAATCGAGGAAAAGTCACCAGACTCGCAGGGACTCCAAGGCTTCAAAAACAGATCAAGGCACACTTTTTGGTACATGCATATGTGTATCATTGCTGGTGTGTGCTCAGATTTATCCCAAAATCCATCGCTAATTTGGGATTTAGATTTCACATTTTTATCTAAGAGAAACATTAACTCAGGCCAACTTTAAGATAATGTTTGTTGTCCTCTCCCGACTCAGGAGGAAAAAATGGAATCGGTAGGTAGGTGAGAAATTTTTTTTTCAAAGAAAATTTCAAAATCAATGCTAAATTTTCAAAATCTGTTTTCCAGAATGCATAAAAAAATAATAGTTTCCTGGATGTTAAAGTTCTGGGTCTGGCCATTTTTAGCCAGTCAGTTGGGAGAGGGCAACCAAACAATTTTTTAAAGATGGCCTCATTTAAGTTATCTAAAGACAATGTTTTTTTTCTTTCCTGTGATTTACCCATTTACAAAAGAGTATTCAAACAGCTGTTACAAAGTGCTGTCAATATGTGATATGAGAGAATAAAATTTATTTCTTATTATCAAAACAAGGAATGAAAACATATTAATTAAAAATATATCTACTGACACCTTTAGAGTTACAATGTCACCACAAGTGACGATGACTGGCCAGGAGAACTTCAATATATTATTAACCGTTAATATTTCCATTTCTATTTGTTTTCTCTGTGATAACTCTTTGAAAGTTTGGAGAGTTGATTTCTTGATCATTCTAACGGAATGCAAATTTCGCCAAGCGAAAGGTCAGGAGCTAAGAAGGCCTAATATGCATGTAATTCTCGTGCGGCTGTCTTTGTGTCAGACTCTAAGGAGGCCTAATATGCATGTAATTCTCGTGCGCCTGTCTTTGTGTAATTTAAATCTATTAGTCTACATTTTTAAAACCTAAATTTACAATTTTATTTTACAATGAAATGGAAATATAAGGAATCACTGTCTAGTTAGTAAGGCTTTGCCCGTTATGCAAATTATCCCAAGTTTCCAACTATCGTTGATGTCCCTGGCATACTCTACTAACAAGACAGTGATTCCTTAATAAAAACAATGAACTCATTATTAGCTCAGCTGACTTTAAAATAAGCGATAATTGAACATAAGTGATTTCAATTTAACCAATATTTATTGCAAAGAGAGAAACTGAGGATTTAGTTTTACTTCAAAATAAGAAATACTTCAAAATAAGCGATATTTCAAAATAAAGAATTTCAAAATAAATGGAGTAAAGTGTAATCTACTGACTGATTATAAAAATTAAGAACCTAAAATATATTGAATGTAAAAGTCATTCTCCATGTGCTAAATGCTCTCACTACTTAATCTATTGTAGGGCCAGAATGTTTTTCCCTGTTTGGCAAAATTGAAAAAAAAAGAATTAATTAAGAGGACTGATGGACCAAAATGTATTTCTTTGTCTCCCCCCCCCCCCCCCCCCCCCCTCTGAAAAAATATGGTTCTTTGGAAATGACAATCATTTGAAAGGAAATTTTCAAAAAAAGTATTTCTATATACCCCCCCCCCCCCATATGATTCTTTGGGAATATTTACAATCATTTGAATGGACATTTCCAAAAACAATAAAACTGCAATGAAATATTTTGTTGATGATCAAACTTTAGTCAATTCTGTTAAAAATACTGCATGAAATAACTGTACATTTTATGGCACCTTCTTACATGTGCATGACATTATAAGTATAAAAACAATTAGACAAACAAATGATATCTGATATTCTTGATATTTAAATACACATAATAAATAACCCATTTTTTTCTTTAATCATCATATTCTTTTATATAATAATATATCAAATTAAATTTCACTTTTAATGGACAGGATTGGCATCAACTTGAAAACAAATTAATGAACTTGCTAAATTTGGTCAAACTTTTTGAAATCCTCCCACTGTCTAGAAATTTTAAGAGCAAAATATTAAAAAGGAAGAAATACTGCAATTATCAATTATCAAAATGTCATGCAGGTACTAACCACTTTACACATAAATGTTAAGACATATTTTTTTCTTCTTAAGTTTTCTTCAGTATTTTAATGGATCCAAAGTACCGCATGCATGTCAATTATACTAACTTGTAGTTTTTTGTTTAAAGTGCTATAATTATTTGCTTTATTTTTCTAATTTTTTTTTTCCGTCATGATAGTTTTTGTGGAAATCAAGGTTTTAATAAAAATTTTCATTTTTAATAAAAATGTTCAATATATTTTATTGATATTAATATCTTTTTTTCTTCAAAGTTTCTTTTCTTCATTCTACAGGTGTTTTATTGAAATACATTTAAGTACATATATGTATGGACATCTGGCACAGTATAAAAACCAAGCATATTTCTTTGAATAACATTATAATGTTCCAATATCTTCGTGTCTGAATGTAAATTCTCAACTGATTCATATCAACTCTGTCTACATGGAATAAAAACATTCTTTCCCAAATAAATGGTAACGGTAAAATCAATATTTAGTAACAACTAATTCATCAGTTTTTACAAGGGTATGATATATAAACACATGTCAGCTCCACTCAATTATATCTGGGAGAAACTAGACCATGCACATAATTTTTTTTTTCTTTTTGCGAAATCAAATCAACATTTTAAATTAAAATCTCAAAGAAGGTACAATTATCTTATTATTTATAAACTCAAATACCCAATATAACAACATTTACTTTGGAAAGTCATTCAGAGAAAACGTTGTCAATTCAGCCCAAGTGTACGACTCATTTTTGATTGTGTTATATGAACAAAGATTTAAAAGCCTGGCTAAATAAAACAAACACTCCAGCACACTTGTGAGTAGAACCTTTAGCCTAGACCTCCTTAATAATGTGTTCTTCAACACAATACTTTCATTTCAATTCTTCAGAGCAGGAGGCAAATAGCACATGCACTTCAGATCTTGAAATTTAGGGTGTTTTAAAAATATTGAATTTGCAGAGGTTGAAACATGTTTAAATTGAAAGTGGCCAGTTAATAAATTTGTTGAGTACATATTCCAGTACATGTATTTAATAATGACATATTTTCAAATTGGTTAAAAAATCTAGGATGAATACTTAACTAGAATTTTACATTTTGTACTAACATTAAAAGGGGGAAAATATATGTTCAGATTGGTATTTTAGAAGTCTCTCTCTTTTTTTCTTTTCACACATCAGTTGCTTTGGCAACATAAAAAAATCTTACCTTCAATGGACATCATCGCTCGTAATTCCCTATTCAACAATTCAAATCGTTTCTCCAAATCATCCTCCTTTTCTCTGAAAATAAATTTATTTCACAACATATAAAATTTCCTCTTGATTATATTCTAAAATGAAACTTGAACTAAATTTACTTCTTCATTTATATAGTTAGTGAAGTTTGCAGAAAAGCTGATTTCTTAACAGGAATTAGAGTAATGGGTTTAGTGTTAAAGATGATAATATTTTCACAATATACTTATAAGACTTAGAAGTTTTCTCTTGAGAACTTAGGATCTTTATCCTTATTACAGCCTTAATTCACGGAAAATCTTATTATTCCATCTGACGTTCTTCAGAACATCTCAGAATTTTATGATATCCTTCTGCAAGTATTCAAATAACTCCAGCCCCCAAATGTAAGAAGAATTTAGAAGATAAAAAGAAAGCTAAGGAGATTTGCAATAGGATCATATAAGGATTGAATATATTGATGGCCCTATGTTCAAGTCAATCTGAAATCCCATTTAGGCTTAGGTTCTTAAACACAGGATTTTTTTCTTAACAAGTTGTGTGATAAATTATTCTCTTGCTTAAAAAAGAAAAATGTTCAGATCAGTCTTAGACACCTTCAGTCAGCAGAAAGGGGAGATAACTCAGGGTCACAAAGGATTACAATCACATGACGTCATATTCTTATTGGCTTGGGTTTTTCCTCCATGCTTGACAATTAATGGCTTACTACTGGTTAACTTGTCCACACTTTCTCAAAATAATTTCATAATAAATATATAATTATAGTGAGAAACCACTGCTTGACAGTTCTTGTGAAAGATCATGGGAACTTTCTCTTAGCCATAAAAAATTATTAACGGGAATAATGATAAATGTAAATGAAGAATTAAAACCAATTCATGCAGAGATCTTTTGTGGCAATTGTAAGTTCACACACCCCAACCAAGCTGGCTCAATGGGAATAGTTTCCTCACATTTTCATTGCTATCATCAAATCTTTCCTTGTTTGGCCCTAACTTTGGACAAAATCTTAAATGTAGTTATCATGGTTATAGCTTTATTATCTTAAGAACAGTTAAACATCTTTGCTTGTTCATACATTATGTTGGAAACATCACTGAAAGAATCGACCTACTCCGAACATTGACAGAATTTCATTTTTTATGTATATATATATATATATATATATATATATATATATATATATATATATATATATATATATATATATATATATCTATGAATTTGCTATTTATGAACAAATATATTTCATATTTCGATTTGTATTTAATTGGCTATAATCATGAACAGAAAATCGGTTTGTCATAAGTCTGCGCGGAATCATGGAGTGAAAATTGAAAACAATTTCTCTTTTTTCTGTCCTAATACATTCATTTATCCCTTTTCTTGCATTCAATAGGCATTAAATGTTAGGGGACTAAGTCTTTTAGGACTTTCAACTATTTCTGCAGTTCTTCGGCATTTGGCCAAGTTTCGTTAGACCACCAGTTTAGGAACAGACTATTAAGCGCATTCCAATTCTACCTGTTTTGTATTAACTAATGGATTTTTTACAGATTAGAACTCAAACCCAGGTGTATACTTAAAAGACAAACAAAAATATTCACAAGTCAATCCCTCCTTTTTAAAGGGCTCTTAGTCTTACTACTGTTTTAAGGTATTATCTTCAGATTTATGATGGCAATAATTATAAGTAAAATATTGATATGCTAAGGTATGCGTAAGTCAATGTATATATAGTGGGGGGTTATTATATAACTAGATCTCCGACTTAATCAGAAATGTGCACAAATTATTAAACAGATTTATAAGCCTTGTGGAGTATTTTCTTTACTAAAATGATTACGCTTCCTGTTTCTTAAGTTAACAGAATTAGGACGATTGTTTATCCTACTGCTAAAATCGTAAACCGTTATCCAGTCCAATTATTAAAGTACATACAATTTTTACAATTAAATACCTGCATGTATTTGTTGTTTTTTTTAAATATATAATACAATTTACACAGGAATTTATTCAACTCTAATCCTTTTTTTTTTTTAGGAAAAAAAAATTATCGAATTGCAAAAATATTTAAACTAAATATGCTGAAGATAAATAGTTACGTATAAAGCTACGTTGTACATTAATTATAGTAGAATCTGAAGTCCTCAGTTCCTATGAGCCCTGACACGTGCAAACATCTGAAAGCTCCAAATTCATATATATCCTGGTATGGATGTTATATCATAATCTTTAATGATGAAATAATTTAAATGTATTTTTGATGAGTAATATACTACAATGAAATAACTAAGGAATATAAAGATTTTTTTTTTGTTTAGGAAATTCTTCCGTTATGACTATACATAGATACCACATTTATAAAAAAAACTGCCGCCAATTTGGTCCAATTAGGATAGGGACCAAGTAAGTACTATTTTGAACATGTTGAAACTCAAATTGACCTGTTATGGTATTAAGACGGATTATGGTGGGAAATCCTCTTTGACATAATCCCTTGCCAATAATAGTCTGTTTCTACAACCCCTCCAAACATTTGATGTCTCAATGGCAAAACACAAAGTTGGGGATCACCGAAAAAAATTCTGTTGTTCCAGAGCTTAGTAAGGACCTATGGCTAAGATTATCTCAACTTGAGCGGATGCAGTATGACTTACATTTAAACTTTTCTACACACTAAATATTGCATTTTGATCTCAAATCCTGATTCCAACTACTCTAGCTATTAGTAAGGGTCTGTTTAAGAAGATAATCTCAAATGTGTTTGTTTAGTTTACAAGATATACCATGTGCAAGTAGATTATAATACACATTCTGTGCTGCCCTTAAATCCCGTAAATCTTAGGTCAATACAACTTACCTATCTTATACCTATTAGGGAGATTTATAAGTGTATATTCAGTTTATTTTACAGCTAAATACAAATAAAGTACATACAAAAATGTATGTTATCAGTCAATTCAATCTGCATTAATTTGTACAAAAATGAAAAGAAAATTTCAAGAAAATGGTAAATAGATCTATACAATATATGAAAAAGTACCTGAATGAACAAATAGTAATATCTTATTTTAAAAATTATGTGCAGTGAAATTTTTTTTTTTAATATGTACAAAATTTTGCCTATTGGATATATTTATATTTTTCTCTAATAATAACTGCATGATTAATATAAACTCATAATCCAATCACCCTCATATAAGGATATTGTTGTTCTTTTCTAATTTTGAAAACTTGAAATTTATTTTCAAGCATAAAGATTTTTAATTTCTGATTTAATAAAAATTGAAGAAAAAAATTTTTTTTTTGCACATTTGTTTGTGAAAAAGTTTATTTTTTTTCACATTAGGAACAATTAAATTGATAAGAATATTTTAAATAGATCAGGAGCCAAAGGTACTCTCAGAGAACACTGGGCAAATGTAACGGAAACCTGTTATGCAACAAAACAAAAACAGCCCCTTTCTAGCAATGAAAAGACGAACCTAATATGAATTCAAAATTGAAGACACATTTTAGGCAAAGTCAACATTGGGGAGAAATGTATTCTTAAGCGACCCCAGGGGTGCTCTGTAGTGGTCAAAAGCAGGCCGTTCAAACTTTTATTAAAAACTATTTTTTTCAAAACATTTCTTATTAAAGCCACCATCATTTTACAAACATCCTCGAGATATCAAATTCCATACGAATGACATTATAATTATAGAAATGAATTCAATTCTCAAAAGGCTAAAGAAAAGGGAGGTTTAAAAATTGGCTGTGTAGCACACAGGAAAACATTAAGTTGTTAACATAATTTGGATCTTGTACAAACATTGCAATGTCAATATTTTAACAACTATAAGAGAAACTTCATGTTGACATTGACAATAGAATGTGTTTGTCCGTTGAACTGACCAGTCTAATTAGTTAACACTGACCCCCTGCCATTGTGAAGGGGAGGGGACAGGTTTCCCAAACAAAACAAAAACAGTCCCAATAGAAATGATGTAACTTATGAAGAGCTATGATAGCCTGACTCCTTGTGTTTGAACATTTGTGTAATCACATTTTATATTTCAAGTGTTGTGTGGCTTAATCTTGAAATTTCTGAAACTCCTAGAGAGGAACAGTACTATTGAATTACTAGTCAAAATATTATTAATTTTGATTAATACATAGAGAATTTCAAGTCTTATATTCTTTGGCATGTATAGTGATCAATTATGATACGTTTTAGAATATCCTGATGGTGCCTTACATATTTCAGATACCACCACATGAACTTACATGCAATGAGTTTTCCTGAGTTACAACTGTGGACCCATTTCCAATTTTAAAAAAAATCGGTTATTTTTTCCAATTTTTGCTCTGTTTTTCAAGAAAGAAATACTGGTACTCAAGACTAAAAATCTCACTCTAAACATTTTTTGCATCAAATTTCCCAATTCTAGGGACTCTGGATCCATTTTTAAAAAGAAGTCAGGAAGACCCATGCATGCTGAATTGTAATTACACATGAGGACCCTGGGCTTTGACGATAACCTGAGTTAAGTGAATTTCTCAACATAGATAAACTTAGTCCCACCCTGTGGCCTCAACAGCCCACGAAGACACTGGATTTAGAGGACTTCTTGCTCATAAAAATAGCAGATAAACATTGTTTTGCACACCCTGAATAGGAAAAAAAATAAATAAAGACATGACAATACCTGATATTTCAATAACTTAACTTAGCGAAACTCTTTCACAGTGTAGGTAGGAAACCTAGCTCTGTTAGCTGGGGACAATGTGTCGTCAAATACAACACAAGTTCTATCATAGTAGACTTTTCAAGGACATATAAGAAAGAAGTGCTGGTGAAATATCTTTAAAGACTTAAGTTAATAAAAACTTCAATGAACATTTTGCCTAAAATTCACTTAGCCCCATCCTACGTCAAGAACTCTAGACCTACAGGACAGGATAACATATTTTGATAGTGGCCTCATATAGCTCAAAATCATGAAACAATATATATATTTTGATAGCGGGCTCATATAGTTCACGATCATGAAACAGTTTGTACATATTTTGATAGCGGGCTCAGATATGATCTCACTTTCATTGTTTCTGTTAGATGATTCCAACAAGTTCACTTCAACCTGTGACCTTGTAAACAGAATCCATGCAAGGACATGAATTTTCACAATTTTGATAGAGGCTCAGTTTATGCTTCCCATGCATGTAGTGTCTGTTAGATTTTCAGGAGTGCAGATTATACTATTTTATATATATATATATATACATGTATATTGTATATATATATATATATAATGCATTTTCTTTTTCTGATCTATTTAGCCCCACCCTGGGGCTTGAGTGATGAAATCAGAGTTAAGAATAGGTTTAAACTAGTTCAGCTATTTCACAATGTTCACAAGTTTATGTCCAACTGGCGTTGTGCAATCACAGACAAGAACAGGTATGCAATGGATAATGGATGCAAATGACGTAAAATTTTGATGTGATAATTATTCTAATTTCTACCTTTTCGTTGTTTTTGGACAGCGACCTGAATGTGCTCATTAGAAATGTATTACTTATAAGACTAACTAAAATTCATTGGTTGTCACGTAATTAATATCTTATGTACAAATCACTAACTGTCATAAACAATTTGTAACAAATTAAGTTCTGATCTACATTATTTTGCCGAGTAATTTTACTGAGTTAATTCTAAATACAAGTTTTGGGGCTTCTTTGCATGCCCTCAAATTAATATAATGCAATTCTCAGATTATCTAGAGCTGTCTTAAAAGGGATTTCCCCCCACCCCACCCCAGAGGGCTACTTAAGAAAGGGCATAATTTTAAGTTTTTGAATTAACTTCAAGATTTAGCCAAAGAAGAAGAAAATATGGTTCACACAAGGATTTTGCACAGAGATCTGTTTTAACCTTTTCTTTTTTACGTAGAACTTGGATCAAGGTCACTGCATATCCTTTACCAACAGACACAACTAATATTGAACATTTTATGCATTGCTTGAAAACCAGACAAATTTTAAACAAATTGATTACTGGTCTAACATAACTTTCACCCAGAAGAAGAAAAAAAAACTCCCTGCAAGAAACCATATAAATCAAAATTTATCACCCCAGTCAAAAACTTTGTCGCATATTAGAATGGTAAAGAGGAGGGCAAGACATTAAAACTTTTCACCACAACATGTACATCATTAAATTGCTGCTATAAAAGGTCACTGAAAAGAAATCGACGAGCCCCTCATTTTGCTTGCCACAGATGTCACAAATGGAGAATTGAGTGGCTAGCCCAGACCTAGGTTATACCAATGCTGGATACAGTTAAAGCCCTCCATGCAATTAAATTTCTGGAGTATGAAATTGTCTTAGGGTAAGAGATTTCAAGTGGAAGGAATGTATAGGAACCTATTCTAATGAATTATTGTATGTCAATAAGGTGTGTGGCGTATGGAAATAAGGTGTGAGGGTGATACCAAACATGCACGTCAATAGCGCTCAATATATTGTAACTTTGGAATTTTTACTTTCTTTCTTTTTTAAGGAATAAGATTAAAACAAAAACCTTTTTATCAGTTTCACAAACCTTAAATCTGTGAAATCTTACTTAGCTGATAATTTCAGAATGTCTTTTCCGCCCACAAAGGAAAATCTTGTTAATTGTTTTAATACCAATGTCAACACATTTTCTAAGAATATACATATAAAGACAATTTTTTTTTTATCTGTTAAACATACTCTAATTCTGTGAAATCTGACATCACAGATCATTTCAGCATTAACATTCCCCTCCCACTCAGGACAATCTTCTTAATTGTTTTAATACCTAAGTAAACCAGGAATGTCTATCACTTCAATTTTTCACCTAATATACATGTATTAAGCTCTTTTAACATAACATAACTGAGCTTTCATTGGAGGAAAAAATAAATCAAAAATAGTAAAAATTTTAACATTTGCTTTGTTTTGTTGTTGTTGTTTTTTTAAATTTTTAATTGTGGATATTAACATTTAATACTGCAAGGATGGGCATTTTTGTTTCTGTGTGCAGGCATTATAACACATGCACAAACCTGCATAGTGTCTGTATAATGCGCAGCATGACCAAACACTCCCATCTTTATCAGGTGCTGTCAGCAGCCGCGATAAATAATTCCGTTCACAATGTCAACATTTTGTCACTGTCTTTAAGAAGGCTCACAAGTTACAGGGATTAAGCAGGGAATCATTAGGCGGGCTGTCTTTTGGACTTTATAGGGTCTGATTTACAAAAGGGAATAAACATCCATCACAAAATAATAAATCCCTGATGCACAGCAGCTACTCAGAGGATCAGAGTCGATCACCCACGGCAAGGCCGGTTCTTAAAGTCAGGCTTAAACCTTCTCACAGCTCTGATCATTATAAAAACAAAAACTATTCCGTGCTCAATAGGCAGAAATAAATATATCCTATTCAAGCAGATTCATCTTAAATATTTTCCTGGATATCAATATTTAACTTTTTCTTTCAAATTACAACTTTGACCTTTTTCAGTAATTTTAATATGGAAAGCTTTCTTTATTCTTTTCTATAAAAGCATTTATTTTGTAAAAAGAATTTTCATTTCCTGGGTCCTTAAAATGCCTTTAGATGCATTGAGCCATTAGAAGTATTTCTTACTAGTTTGAATGGAGGCTAATTTCGTTTACTACAATAACCTCAGATCATAAGTTCATTTTGTAAGAGACCACTTACCCGCCTCTGTCAATGACCATTTACCGGTATAGACTTTATAAACAAAATAATGAAAAGTGGGTTAATAAAGAAATTTTAATGGGCATGCCAAATTTATATATTCATTACACGAAAAGGGAAAAAAAAATTGGTTGAGTGAAAAATCGGCTGTATATATACACTTTGCAATATCAAGAAAGACAACTCTTATTTTGCACTTCCACCATCTACCCATCTCAAACCTTGTAAGGGTCAAGAGAGACAACTCTAGATATTGGACAAAAAGAAATGATGGTGACTTACAAGATATTCAGCTGCATCTGTCGTCTGATCAAGGCATTTCTTTTGTTGACCAACAAAAACCACTCCTGCATCAATTTCTCCTCCATACGCTTGTACTTTGCTGCAATTTTTTTTTTTTGATATTTAAGAAAAGATTTGTTCATAAGAAAAACAACAAATGTCTGAAGAATGCTCTATTTTATAGCAATGCATTAAATCAACTAAAAATTAACATTTCTTTCAGTATAGTGAAATCACTAACTTTTGTGGAGGTTTAATATTCGTTGTTTTCGTGGCATGCAGTGATCTACGAATTCATGTCCTCCACAAAATGTAAATTTTAAATGTATAAGAGCACAGCATTTCTTCAACCAAGAAATCAAATCCCCTTGAACTAACATATTTTCCTCAAACCAAGGAAATCTGACAGAACAAAGATATGTGATTTTCCAGTATAGTCTTACATTTTCCCATGATTCTCCTTAGTTTTGCCTCTAGTTCCCCTGCCTGTTTGTCTATCTGTGTTTGTTCTCTCTCCAAAGCATCCATTTCATTGTGAACATACTGATTTGTGTCCTGAAGATGCTGCAACATGAAAAATATTTTATATTTGAAGAATTCCTACATAAGAAGGTTGCAATTGACAATTTTAGATTATATATTTCAGTATTTTTACCTCATCCTTTTTCTTCTCCACATGGTCTTCAAACTCCAAGGAATCAGGTGTAGAACTGTAATCACCTGTAAATTAATATTCAAAATGTACTCTTGTAGACAAAATGTTCTCTATCTAACAATATTTTTATCTCAACTGCCCCAACTGCCCGATTGGTACAATCAGATTTGCTGCTAACTTTTTATCTCCTAAACATCTGTGGACCTTTTGAAAAAATACCGTAATTTTTGGACGATAGGTCGATACTTTTTTTCTCAGAAGTGTTGGGGTCGCCGTTTAACTAACAGTTAGGACGACGGCTAAAATTTTCCACTTCTTTTAAAAGTATCTAAGGTATAGTAAGTAAAAAAAATCTTTAAAAAAAACGTGAATAATCCTTTTAAAATATTAATATCTTTTTTAAACAAAAAATTTACAGAGTTGTACAGTTTTAATCTTGGTCTGAAGATTTTTTGTGAAAAGTCCTACTGAAACGCTTACTTATTGATGACTACTGACCCCCCCTCCCCAAACTGCCAGTAAGTGACAGACTGAATGCTACTCACCATCCTCTCTAGATCCCTCACTGCTCTCTGTCAGGGAAAAATCAGATGAAGGAGAATGGACCACCTTGTTTTCTACTAACTCCTCACTCTGTCAAAACAATTAAAAGTTCTAAGTACTATGTACCATCTCAAAAAATTAATATCTTTTTGTTTCCTTCTTTTTTTTCCCCACAGTATAGTATAGGTCAATTTAAATACAGTGGTTACAGATTTCCACAAATAGCTTCCCCTACATGTACTCCAAAATGGTGCTCAATTCTTACCAAGTAAAGAGTTCAAGAATCATTTCTATGTATGAAAGCTGGGTATATAAATTCTACCTATAAGTAACACTTTTGCAGTTTAACATGAAGTTTGCCAGAAGCCAATATGGCGATTTTATCAGTTTCACCAAGTACAGTATATTATGCTATGAAGTCACAATTAGTGTTCCAGATGGAAATAATCTGTCTAACACTAGTAGTAAATTACTTTTTGGGGGACCACCATGTCATATTGAAGTTCATTTATGTTATCCACCTCCCAAGTAAAACACAAGAGGCCCAAGGGCCTTCAATCGCTCTTCTGATAAATTGTACAACCTATCACTTCTAATTAAAGCCTCTAAGTATCCTGTATATTAAGATAAAACCTTAAAATTCCAAAAATAGGTCATAATGACCTACATTTTGGTTAAAACACTCTGAGAACCCAAGATGCATCAACTAATAAAGTTTGATGATTCTAAGCCCAGTACTATCTTAAATATTCAGAAAGAGCCTTGAGATCCCAAAAGTAGGTCACGGTGACCTATTTTTTGGAAAAGACACTCCAAGACCCTGAAATACATCAACTGACAAAGTTTGATGATTCCAATTTTCTTATATTTTGAAATATTTAGATATTGCCTGGAAATTCCAAAAGTAGATCACTATGACCTATTTTCTAGTTGACATATTCTGAGGATTAAAAATACATCAACCAACAAAGTTTGATGATTTAAAGCCAATTACTACCTCAAATATTTAAATATAGCCGTAAAAATACAAAACAAGGTCATTGTGACCTACTTTTCAGTTTACACATTCTGAGGACTCAATATACATCAACTAACAAAGTTTGATGATTTTTAGCCAATTAGTATCTCAAAACATTAAAATATCATCACAAAATTCCAAAAGAAGGTCAAAGTGACCTACTTTTCAGTTGACATACTCTGATGACCTATTACATCAACTGACAAAGTTTATGACTGTAAATCAATTCGTACCTGAAATATTTAAATACATGTATAGCCATAAAATATCAAAAGTAGGTCACAGTGACCTACTTTTCAGATTATGTTTTCCGAGGACCCAAGATGCATCGACTGATAAAGTTTGATGAATCTGAGACAATTAGTACCTGAATATTTTTAAAAAGCCATAAATTTCAAAAGTGGGTCATAATGACATACTTTTAAGTTGACGTTCTCCGAGGACCAAGATGCATCAACTGACAAAGTTTGATGATTATAAGCCAAGTACCAGAAATATTTGAATATAGTGATAAAATTTCAAAAGTGGGTCATGGTGACCTACTTTTAAGTCGACGTTCTCCGAGGACCCAAGATGCATCACTTGACAAAGTTTGATGATTCTAAGCCAATAACTATCAAAAAAATATTTCAATATAGCCATAAAATTTCAAAAGTAGGTCATGGTGACCGACTTTGTCAGTTGACCTTCTCAGAGGACCTAAGAAGCATTTGAAGTTTGATTATTATACACCATAAAGTGTTCAAAATATGTCTCTAAAACAATTTAAAAACGGATGCCTGCAAAATTCAAAAAGTTGGTCACTGTGACCTACTTTTTGATAAATATGGTTATAGATTTGTAACTTTGGATAATGCTGAGTTTCGAGATATGTCTGGCTATAGATTTGTAACTTTAGATGATGCAGAGTTTGAGATTTGTCTGCCTATAGATTTGTAACTTTGGATAATGCCGAGTTTTGAGATATGTCCGACTATAGATTTGTTACTTTGGATAATGCCAAGTTTTGAGATATGTCTGACTATAGATTTCTAACCTTGGTAGATGCTGTCAGTGAGGAAGTAAGATCTGGTTGTTTGAGGCTAAATCTCTTCAGTTTTAGCTCTGGCTTCTTTGCCTCTCCATTACTTAGGGACAGAGATTCTATATAAAATAAGGAAAAAAAAACTGTCACATAAATTTGTAGTCTTATTAAGTCTGCAATCACTGGAATTGGAACTTTTTCTTATTTGTAGACTTCATACAGGAAATCATATGATCAACTATTCTTGTTCATTTGTTTCTGTTTTGTTCTGGTCATCTTTACAGTACACATATTTTCTTCCTAAATAATTCATTACACTTAATATTGACAATACTGAGGTATTACAATTAAACAATTTTGTTACTGATAACATTAACAAATTAAATTCTTGATTTGTAATATATACAAAAGTGCTGAAAACATTTCAACTAAACAAGTATCTTGTATTTGTGCACATTTATATTTAAATTTGTCTCACATTTCCCACGCTTCTAATTGTGTTTTCTATCTAATAAGAAAGACACCTGCATAAGTAAGTTACTCAAATAAACAAGAATGTACTTGAAATATTATACATCTGAGTGTTTTTTCTACATGGAATTATCATTGTAAATTAATATATAATTAATAATATATTAATAATTAATAATTTAAGCCACCTGCAACTTGTTAGTATTATTCAGTTTATTGCATGTGAAAGATTACTTATGGGAACATCTACCTCCAATTGTGTGTACGAACACATATATCCAATGCTTATAAGGAAACTGCAGAATATCAACAACTGACATCTAGTAAGAGATGTCAAATGATATCTAGGGATGTCAATTGCACTCAGATAGCCTAGTAGAATAATCAGGGACTTAAGTCGAATAATTATCAAGTACTCATTAAATTATTTTTCTCATGTCAATTTAACTTTATGTCTTTCACAGACTGCTTCTGCAACATTTAAATCATGCTACCGTCACAGACAGCATATTTCTACATATTAGTGTTACTATTTAATAAATACCTGTATACTATTGATATATGAATTTCAAAAATTTTTACCGCACATTTTATCTACTGGTAAACAAGATTTATCAAATTAAAATGAGTTCAATTCCAGCTAAATTATACACCTGTGATTGGTTAGCATGCACTTAGAGTGTATTTATCAAAACATTGAAAGTTTGCAATAAATTTTAATAAATCAATGAAATTTTGTACAAACAACAAATCCAATCATTAAAAAGATGCAAGACGTCAAAAGAAATATTAAAGTATATACATCTATCTCCCCATTTACATGTATAAGTAAGAATGTACATATAATCATTTGATCAATAATATTGTCTAAAAAGTTCAATCTTAACCCAGATATGGCAAAACAAACCTCTGGATTTTCCTTTTTCCCCGGCCCCCTTATTTTTAGTACATGTATTTACTCAAGTCGATGAAAGAAAAATATTATCATATCATAGGCATATAAAGCAAACCAATCCGATTTTATAAATCACACAGTAAAAATAATACAGTAGAGCCTCATTTATTCAGACAGATTTGTTACCAGTCAAAATCGCTGGGATAGGTGAAGTGTCCGGATACTAAATTGACTTGATGTTAACTGTAAATTATACATCCATGACTGGTTAGCAGTTAAAGTGTACTTTTAATCAAAACATGAAAAGCTTGCAATAAATTTCAATTATGAAATTTTGTACAAACAACAAGTCCAATCATGTAATAGTGATTGTGTAAATTTGAACATGATTTTATAAATGTCAAATTTTAATGATATTCACAACAGAACACTGTAATGAATATAAAATTTTTAAAAACCATCTATCCAAATAAAAAAAGAAACAGGCAATTGTATAAGTTGAGATGACCAGATATAGATTAATGCTTGATACATGTATATATTAATATTTCTTCTAAGGTGACATATAGGCCCAACAGGCTAGGCATTTGTATTTTAATGAGTTTATGCATGATTGTTCATTTTGTTAAACTCGTCACTATAATAAACACTACTACTATAACAAAAAAATGCATTTTGTGAGAAAAATACACTGTTCAGATCGGGAATGCAGAATTCCTGATAAACAAGATGAAATAAAGATAAAAAGTCCCGTTCTCAAGAAAAATTGTCCAAAAGCTGAAGCATCCAGATATCTGAAGGTCCACTGTATACATTTAATTAATTTGGATATATGTAAGTCATGGTATAATTACTTAATCCCAAGCACCTATTTATAGGAAATATACAAATTCATACAAGGGTTAACACCTGATACCTATGACCATTTTATTATCTACTACCATCTATAACTGGTTAAGTTAGAAAAAACATAAAATTTATCCACACACAATTAAAATTTCATGCAAATGTGGGTGCAAATGTACAGCACTGGTACAGTAAAGCAGAGGCAACAATTATTAATTTGAAGGAATGCCACGTACATCTCAAAGCTGAACATTACACCACAAATAAACAGCTGTGATGCTGGTCACAGAATTACATACCACTTTTAATGACAAAAAGACCAGGAGTGCGAACTATCCGTCGCATTCGTAGTGTTGATTTACAAGCTGCTGGATGAAACAGATCAAACATATCGAACATCAAAATGAAAGCAAGACAGTCATGCAATGAGGACAGAAAAAAAATGAATTAAATAATTATAATGCAAGACTGGAAGTATATGATGTCTTCATGCCTCTCGTAACAATATTTGACAGAAAACAGGGTAATTTTTGTTTAAATAAAAGTACAACAATAGAACTGGGATAAATCATGTCACTGATGATAGGAAACTTAAAAAAAAAAAAAATTCATTTAAAATGTAAATTAATGAAGCAAAAGAAATTTACTAGCTAGCCAAGAAAGCTTAAGTGGCAATTTTAAATAATTTATTAATACAATGCGTTTAAATTTCACAAAAACAAATGAGCAGACTGACAGAGTTTTGAAGTTTACCTTCTTCTGTTGTTAGATCTTTACTGGGCCTCTTTGGCAGGTTGACCTCTGGTTGACCTATTCCAGCCCGAGCTTCATCAATAAGCTGGCGGGCTCGCTCTTTTAACCTTTTTTGCTTGTCATCAGTTTCCTAAAACAAGATCAAATAGGACACAATTTTATACATGCATACATTAAAAGAATTTTGTCAAAAAACAACTATCCCATCATTGAATATATATATAGACCTACAATTATAGTCATTTTTTTTTTTTATAAAAGTTTTACATTCAGTCCACTTATATACTGTAGATCACTATATTTTCACGACACATTATTTTCGCGAGATAGATATTTGATATTTAAAAGCGAGACTAAATTTTCGCTAGCTGTGGTTTCTGTTGTATATAATCCCTAACAAAAGAAATAAATGCGAGAATAAAATCTTTTCAAGCAGACAGACTCGCATAATTACACAAAAATAAAGTTCTCGCGAATAAAATGGAATTTACAGTACATGTACCTCAGACTCCTCTTTTTCTACCTCCTTTGCAGGAGAGCTTGGAGTTTCTCCAATGCCAGCCTCCTTTCTGGCTTGCTCTAACAAGAACTTAGCTCGTTCCTTCAACTCCTCTTGTCGAGACTTTCTGTCCTCTTCCTTTAATTATAAAACACATCAAGAAAATTTACACACACTGGTAGTAACTCTTGTCAGTGACTATATTTCATTCAATTTAACACAAAAATACAAAAAATGTTTTCCATTAATTATGTAAACATACTACCTTTGGCTTTAATACAGAGTCCAAATCACGAATATTTATTCTTTTACTGAAATGTAAGAAAAATTATGAGGATTAGACAGAAAAAGTATAGCAGTAACATAGTGGGTAATAATAGATTTTTCAAATAGATAGCATAAATTTGATTTAGTGCTTTCTAAATTTTTTTTACATGAATATATTAGCAAATGACACTTAGTGATGTACTTGATTTAGCAGTAGCTGTTTTCCGCAAAAGGTGTTAAATATAATACACATCCAAATGAAATATGCTAACAGTAATAAACACATATTGAAATCACTCTGTTTCCAATTTTTAAGAGAATTATTGATGATCAAATAGTGTAAATCACTTTTTATTCGTGAGAACTTTATTTTTGCATAATTACACAAGACATTCTGCTTGCGAAAATTTCATTCTTGCATATATTTTTGTAAGTATAGGTTTTATACAACAATACCCAGAATTCGTGAAAATTTTGTCTCGCTTATAATTACCAAATACAGTCAAAACTCGTTATCTCTAACGAGATCGGACTGAGAAAAACATCCGAGGGTTCAAGGTATTGAGGGTAAAATACTTTAGAAATCTGTGGTTAGGACTTCCAAATCACTTCGACATATTCATGGTATTCGAGATACCGAAGTTCAACTGTACATATCTCGCAAAAATAAGGTGTCACGAAAATATGGTGATCTACAGTATTGAAATGCTATGTTTTGTTTAGCATGTACATTTGCTATGCCAAAATCGTACCAAGGTTTTTGATACACGCTGCAGAACCCCCGTGGTCTACAATGAACAATGTGTCAAAACCTTCAGTACTATTTTTATAAAATATTTGCAAGAGAAACTGTTCATTTTCCAAATCAATTTCCTATTAAACTTCAATATTTAGCCAATGTTTCTACACTATTCCCTATCACACATCAAACACTAGTCAACTATGGATCTAAATGTCAACGAAAACCATGCATGGCTCTAGCAAAAATTCTTCAACAACAATATTAAACAACAACCCACCCCAACCAATCACCAAACCCAAAAAATGAATAAAAAACTATTTGAAAACAGTACGGTATCAAATATATGTGGAAAAACGAACAGGTAGTATCTACTATCAATGAGGTTGGCATAATACCACTTTCACTTTTAACCAAATTTAATATTTAGTACATCGTGTGTACCATAATATTTACTGAAGTCTAGGAAAATTTACAATGAATGAAGTATAAATTTATTGAGAGGAAAAATTTGTCAGTAACTTACGCTCCACCGGATTCTCTTTTTGGGGACACAGTACTGGAGGAGGGACTGGACGGGGTGGAGGCTCGCGACGACCGTCCACTGCCCTCAGACACAGGAGTCCCAGACCTGGGGGAGACGGGACTACCAAGTGACCCCCTACTACTGAGGACCGGAGACCCCAGGTCACTGAGGGGAGTAGAGGCTTTACTTCCTCTTTGAGGGCGCCACACATCCTCCTCCTCGTCAACAACAGGACTGGTCTCTTCCTCACTGGGAGAATTCACAGATTTATCTATCACAGAACTATCTTTGGCATTTTGGTTAGAGTCTAATGTCTTTGTGGGACTGGACTCTTTACTTCGACTTTTCCTCAACTCGACACTGGCACTCGTGCGGTCACTTGGAGTATTTTCTTTGCTATGTGAATTAGCGGGACTATTTTCTTTGCTATCCTGCTTGGCAGGACCATTATCTTTATTGTTTTTCTTGTTTTTGTCTTTCACTCGACTCGTTCCATACATCTCCCTGGTGATTTCACTTTGAGTATTAGCATCAAGGTCTCCTATAGTATACATACTCTCTCTTGTATTTGTACCTAAATCAAAACAACAAGTATTTAAACTACTATATGTGTACTTAAAAACTCGGGCTTCATATTTTAGCGGCTTTGGCACTAACAATGATGCAGTATTTCATGAATACCCTCAAGAAATCATTCATGAATACATGGAGCAAACTGTGTATGTAGTGCTAATTCATGATTATGTTAATCACTCCATATCCAGTTATTGCGCTAATTTTTTAAATACGTCGGTACATGTACAGTAAGTCAACTATACTTTTAGTATGAGTTATCCAACAGTCTTTAGATTATGCAGGTATTCAGTGTGCACAGTTTTGTTCTTAAGAAATAAGTAAGAAGGTTAATAAGTTCTCTGGAAAATGAAATTGGTTGGTCATGTGATCAAATCCTGTGAAGCCGGAAGGGCTTCTTAGTAGATTTGATCACGTACCAACCAAGTTCATTCCCAGTGAACTTTTTGACCTTGTTATTTATTACTTATACATGTATTTATATTTGAGACAAATATTCAAAATATTCGAAAATAGAAATATTAACAAATGGCCCGCTGTATCACAATGTTGTGACACGCAATGACCTAGAACTGATATTTTGCAATCAAGTTCAGAAAATAATTAAAGAACAATGATTGATATTGAAAATAATCTTACTGTTTTATGAGTTCTTTATATATGTTGAGCCAAAAGCGGCGGTATTGTCTGTTTCACTTTACATACTTTCAAAGGAATTTCAGGTTAAAATAGTATAAGCGTGATTTTAATTATTCAACCCATTCTTCACACCGAAGGAAAATCTAATGGACATCTGTTGATTGAAAAAATATCCATATGTTTTAAATACTTTATCTTTGTCATCGCCACCAAGCTGGGAGTTCCGAAATCAGTTTCACTGTGACAGAAATAGGTAAGCAAGATATCTCGCTGTGTGATTCGGTCACACTATGACCTCTGACCCCCTAATAAATTCATACAGAATTGAACATTTTTTCTTCAAGTATACCTATCTGTTGGACCTCCAGGGTCTGTCCAGTGAAGAAGGCTCTCAGCTGATGGAGGTACGTCATCACAGATAATTTATCAGGAACAGCCAACAGGACCATGTCAGAAGGTTCTATCAGACGTGGGATACCACACGCCGCTGCGGCATCAAATGCCTGGAACATCACAACACTTTTTACATGCAATACAGTTTAAATAGAGATTGTATTTCTAAGGCTATATTACTCAGGGCTGTAAATCAAGTTGTATTTTCAAGCTATAATTTTCAATGCTGTAAATACAACAGTAAGATAAGTAGCCTGATACTTACTGTCCTGTTGTTTCCTTTTATATCATGTGGAGCCAGGGACTTAAAGTCTCTAATAAAATAACAATATTCATATATTGTAAGAAAGTCTCTAATAATAGAACAATATTCATATATTGTAAGAAAGTCTCTAATAATAGAACAATATTCATATATTGTAAGAAAAAGTTACAGTGATTTTTTTTTTACCATGTGATTTATGTATGTAAAGGTGAAAATATAGTTGAAGTGGATTACACCAGAAGTCTCTGACAAGACTGTGGCTCTACTGGTTTTCACTTATTGTTGAAAAGTCGCACTGGGACTTGTGGCACTTTTTTTTTTACATTTAGAGGATTATATACATGTACTAGTACCAGTATCTCTCTGTTTTCTAGACTTGTACAAAGCTTAATTAAAGTATATCATTTTGAAAAAAAATCATAAAATATTCTATTTATATGTTCATGGTAATATAATTGATAGAATTTAAAAACCAATGAATAGATTGAGTAATACACATAAAACTGTAGGAAATTCTTCTGAAATAGGACTATAAGTGTTGTAGGAGTAGAGTTTTTTTAAAAAAAGAATTTCAGACAATATTCTATCAGTTACCACAGAGACAACATTCAGTGAAGTTAAAAAGCAATATGAAAAATGATGTACATGTATCTTGATATCTTTCATGTACTGGTACCATATTTTACTGAAATCCGACCAAAACTGTAGACTGAGTTGCGTTTTGAGAGAAATTCAGACATTACTCTAGTTTTAGTAAAATGGCAACACTATTCATCGAAAACAAAAGCTATCTACAGAATTATATAACTTTGTGTAGTCTTCTTGTGTAACATGTTTTACCAAAATCAGAACAAAACTGTAGGCAGGTATTTCTTTCAAGTGAATTTAAAAGAAATCTAACTTTTTAATGGTAATCTTGACATTAAGGTTTCTAGAATTTCTAAAAAGAACACCTATTTTAAGTAACCATGACAACATTGTTCATGGAAATCCAAAATTGCTAATGAGTATTTTTTTTTTTATTTCTCATCAAGACATTTCAAATTTCTTATTTTTCATTTTTCAGTGGTGCTGAATTATTTAAAAGCTTCGAAGTCATAGGAATTTTCTAGTATTCCTGCAATATGTCTCTAGTGCAACTTTCCTTTAGTTTGACTGACTTCCAGTGGAACAGAAAACTCTAATCCAATATTTTTTTCCCCGTGAATAAAGCACGACTTCAATGATTGCAATTTGTACCAACATAACTCCTTAAATTTGCCAAAGAAAACTTCCATGCTTGGTGAATGTTGAAATGTTAGAATACTTAAAGAAAGGGGCAACTGAACGTTGGTATACAGTACTAAACAAACATATTTTGACCATAATAAAGCATTTTTCAACATCAATATACATTCTTTAATATCACATTTACTTTGCAATAGCTTTTCTTATGGCCAAACCAAACTTACAACAAATCTGGCTTAAAATGATGAATGATAGCACAAAAAGCCATTCCATTTCTCCAGGATGTGGTCAAGTTTGTAACCTTGACCCCTTTATAACCTTTGGTAACATCTTTGCACCATTCAAGAAGGCTCTTACTTGAATCTGTACTTCGTGAAGGTGACTCCATCTGAAATATTTCATTTCTTAACTAGGATTAATTCATAAACTGCTTTAAATTCCAAAATATTTGTATAATCACATTTCACAATTTCTTTACTAATTATAATGGTTCTTTTTTCAAAAGAAGAAAATAAACAGAAATATCTAAATATCTCTCTCGCTTTGAAAATGGTATTATCATCTCAATGCTGGTGTAAGCATGTTGTGAGACGACTAAAAAAGGCATTCATAGATCCAATTCTCCCCCCCCCCTTCCCTACACAGGACCCTGATGTCTAGTATTCTCTGTTACCTGGTTAGTATCCAGTGGTTCCAGCACCTTCCTTTCACTTTCAACATCACTACTATTATGCTGTGGGGACAGTCTATTAAAAATTCAGAACATTTTCAATCTACTTGTATATCAAACTAAAGTAAATACATATAAATACATGTATAACTTCATTGTAAACTCTCTCTGGTATGCAATAAAGATATAAAATAAATATATCCAATATACTACTATATGGTTTATTTTTCATCAGATTGGTTACAGATATATTCAGTTTATAACAATTTGTTAAAATTTATTGTAAGGGTAAGAAATCCAGCAGTATTATTTACATGTAAATCTTTGAGATCACCCCTATCAATTCAAGCATGCCAAAAATGCCAAATTAAGGCAAATTCTCTGAAATATGATTTATGATTGATTAAAAACTAATTTCTTACTGCCTAGAGGGACTAGCATTGAGGGAGGAACTGGCTGACGTATCCAGGGACTCTGGTGGAGGAGTTATTGCCCTTTCTGTGACCTTCCTTTGTTCCTCTGGGGATGATGGAGGTGTGCCTGTGTACAAAGGTCTTTTTGTGTTAGAAATTTCACTTTTAGCCCTCACAGATGGAGGGGGAGGGGCCCGTCTCTTTTTGACGGGAAGAGTATTTGTTTTCTTTTCAGGTTCTACAGAGTCTGCGGTTTCAAAGGGGTTATAGGACTGACTAGTTGTTAGAGCAGTTGAAGAGTCATTAGTAGAGTTTTTCTCATAAAAAGGGTTAGTGGCACTATCATCTTCTTCATCATCGCTTTCATCAAAGGGATTCAGAGAAACTGGTTTCTTTTCAATTGAAGGCTCTGAAAGGCAGAGAAAGTTTCAAGAGTCAGACAGCCTGAAGATTAAAAAAATTAAAATTAAGAAAAAATTAATAAAATGAAGACTTAGATTTTATAATGCTTTGAAAACAATCAATAGTAGATTTGGTTTATCAAGAAAACAAAATATAAAATTAGGGGGAAAGAAATATTCATGCAAAATTTGACTATTAATTTGAGAAAAAAAATAGATTCAGAAGCATTACTATGAGATAAAAATACAAAGAAGATTTTGTTACATTCTAACACAATTCATGGACCCCTCAAAAATTCACTCAATAATAATGATTACTACACAGTTATAGTATTTAGGAACTGAAAGGTTTTTTTTTTAATTTTACATGCATTTTAAAATCAAAGAGACAAAAATATCAAAATTCATAGCATCCAAAAAAAAAAAAAATGCAAGAAGAGATGACGCAAATCAAATTTGCAAATCAAGATAACATAGAAAGAAATAAAGTGAAATAAAGCCAGGCACACGATACCACAGAATTCATCACAATCCAGGTCAAGGTCATCTTCAAAAGGATTTCCAAACGGATTACCATCATCGTGACTGCTGAGCTTGGATATATCCGATGCAATCTCGGAGATTCCGGAGGAGAACTCCTTACTCGTTTCTTCTTCTTCCTCCTCAAGGTCGTCCATGAGGGCGATGTCAGTCCTCCCTATACTCATCAGACTGGCCACAGACTGCATGTCCTCATCACTATATCACAAATCAATAGAATTATATAGGGGAAGTATGGAGATATTCGTAAATGTCTACTGGACTATACTTACTTAAATTTTATTGTATTTATAAAGCAACTAACACAGTTAGATACACATTTTCACTTAAAAATGACTACTTAGAAAGTTCCATAATGTTTTACACCATACTTTCTTAAAATTAGCATGAAAATTGTTGTTTATGAAAAAAAATCACTTTACTAAACAAGTACTCTAAAACATTTTTATGTATTTATTTTCCATGCATGTTTAAGATATAATGGAGAGCATAAACTGTGCTGCAGTATGACTTATCTCACTTAACAGTGGCAAGTTTTACCTGGTATGTGGTTTATACAGTGGTATGACTTACATGGCCTTTACAGTTGTAAGACTTACATCAAGTTAAAAGTAGTATGACCTCTGGTTTTTACAGCAATAAGACTTTTCTGACTTCCCAGCAGTAAGACTAATGTGGCCTTTACAATGGTAAGACTTACATGGGATTAGGGGCTGTAACTTATGTGGCCTTTACAAAGATAAGTCTTCGTTGGAGTGGGGAGGAGCATAAGTTACGCAGTACAGTGGATTGACTTTGGTGGCATTTACAGCAGTAAGACTGATGAAGCCCTTACAGACATAAGACTTACTTTGGGAAATATGACTTACGTTGCCTTTCCTTCTCTAAGAAAGAGACAAGACAGTGTAAACTGTAATGTAACATTGACAATCTTCTTTGTTGTAGGCTTCAGGGTCAGCTTCATTGTGTGCTGGGTTGGAACAGAGGAGGCAAACTCCTTCATGTTGATTGGTCCAGTGGCCAGAATCTTCCTCCTCCCAGCACGAGATTGCTATTAAATTGAAAAAAAAAAGAAAACATTTTTAATTTATGTTCTGTTACTGGACTAGATTCCTAGAGAGCACAGGAGGTATTAGTGCATTGTTAGAGGAAATAAGTAAAACTCATTGCATATCTATGATTCTATTTTTGAAAAATTACAATTTACTTAAAAAAATAATTAAGTAAATTTATTAATCTAAAATTCTTTATATTTCAAAAGTCTTTCAACTGTTCTAAATATATGTTCATGTTTCAAGGTTTTGTATACTGTGAAATCACTAATTTTCGTGGGGGTTAATTTTCATTGTTTTCGAGGTACGAAGAGACCCACGAATTCATGTCCACCACAAAACTTAAAATTTCATTTATATAACTACTCAACACTTCTCCAACCACAAACCAATATTTTTTCTCAAACCCCGAAAAGTTGACCCAACGAAAATATGTGATTTTACAGTAATTCTTGTAAAAAGATATGGTAACATAAAAGCAAGATCCTGTTACCAAATAAACCAGAAACCAAAACAATTGCTTTTTCAAAATAACTATATATGCTCATTTTCTTTATCATTGACATGTTAACTTATTCCAGTACAGACTTATCTCCCTTAATGAGGACATCTTTACATTTGTAGAACAGAAAGATTTATATACCGCTAACATCTTCATTTACTACAATGAAAAAATCTCCCCTATAGATAGTTTTCAGTAGGCCCAAATTAGCAAAAGTTATTTCCCATTGGCCGCCATATTGGAGGTCAACATGCTCATATTCCATCATTATTCAACCAACTTTAACTTTTTATACTGGCCATTGTGGGGTAAGAAGCATTGTTTTTCTGAAAAATAAACATTTGTTAAAGCCTCCTTTATTTCATAATTTTTATTCTATAAAGATTTTCTCCAAATATTTCTGCTACACCCTCTTAGATTTGGTAAGACAAAGAGGAAAAATTACCAGGTTGACCACCAAGATGGCGGCCAAGGGAAATAACTCGGAGAAAAATTCTGTCATATGAAAACTATCTATTGGCAACTACTGAATAGAATTATCTCCATTATCAAGGACACAGAATGGTACAGACTTATCTCTCTTACTGAGGACATCTTCAATCTCTATACATGTGGAACAAAACAGTTTTATTTCCCTTGTAGCTAAAAATACCAATCACTACTGCACTTACATCTCTTATTATAAAATCTTTTCACTTTCAAGAGTACAGACTTATCTCCCTTACTGACAATATCTTCACTCACAAGAGTACAGACTTATCTCCCTTAATGACAATATCTTCACTCACAAGCATACACACTCATCTCCCTTATTAGCAATATCTTCACTCTCAAGAGAACAGATTTATCTCCCTCATTGACAATATCTTCACTCATAAGAGTACGGACTTATCTCCCTTATTGAAAATATCTTCACCAACAAGAGTACAGACTTGTTTCCCTCAATGACAATATCTTCACTTTCAAGAGTACAGACTTATCTCCCTTACTGTCCATATCTTCACTCCCAAGAGTACAGACTAATCTCCTTTACTGACAATATCTTCACTCCCAAGCATACAGACATATCTCTCTTATTAAAGACATCTTAACTCACTATAAGACAGAGGAGATTTATCTCCCCTACCACTAAAATCTCCATTTAGATATAAACTTCATCCATCAGAGTATTATTATTTTTTTTTCATTTAAATCAAATTGTTCTATGGACTCTTGGTGTCTCTTAAACCAAAAGAACACTAAAGTACAAATTTTCTTCCTCCCACTACAATACACATTTATCTCCCTTAGAGCTTACATCTTCAATCTGGAATATCCACTCTTTGTCTTCATACTCCACATGCTGACTGTCTCGGAACAAGGTCACCTGGATCTCGATATTCTCAGGAACAGTCCATGTCACCAAGCCTCTGTATGGATTCCGTATGGTGGGCTCCCATGTGTGAAGCTACAGAAATAACCAATTTTAAAAAGTATAAAATGCTTCACCAATTTAAGCCAATACACAAACAAGCTTTCATTGAAATATTTTTCTGACTATAGCACAAAAAAAATTGGGCCACAATGTGTACACAATTTGTACTTGAAAATTTTGGCCACAATTTTATCCTTAAAATGCAAAGGAAAAAATTTTATACAGCTTCTTTAAAATTTACACAGTCATATTGCTTCTAAAGAGTTATGTGCCCTTTGCTAAACTAGCTAAATTTTCCCACAGAAGCATAGAGTGACAAGGGTAATATTTAATCAACATTTTCCATTCTGTATATGTTTGTATCTTTAACAGTTAACACACCAAGTGTACACTAGATCTGTCTGTCAATTACAATAGTGTCTCATTCAATATAAACTTCCTTATCATCTCAGGTTACAATACAACATCAGACGAAATACAATCACTGCTACAATATCAGTTAAGAATGTAGACTACATGTATATCTGTGTTGGATTTCAAGGTCACTCACCTTTGTTGACCTGTGTCTGCTTCTTCTGGTCCACACAATACACAGCTTGTTAGGTTGCCTGCAGAGAAAGTCAATGTGATGAAAAAAAAAACACTCTATATTAAAAACAAACAACATCCTAAAAGTTGTAAAGGCATGTTATATACCTTGTATATTGAAGAGTATAGAAATATCTGAAGAATCCATGAAAATATAGTTTTAACTTAAAGATATCAGAAGTTGTGAAAGTATTATCACTAGAGAATCAACTCCCCCTATTTATCTTCCTCCTTCACAGCCCCCCCCCCCCCAATTACTTTTCCTTATATATATTAATATTTTGAAGCACAGAGAAGATTGCTTTCTAGCTGTCATAGCTCATGATGCATAAAGACTGTTACAATTACATGTCCATATTTTACCAGTATATTATGCATAAATTCCCTTTCTTTATAAACAAATTCCAAGTTAAAATTCTCATGAACTACAACCAGTAAAGAGGAGTATTAAAGTCAGATAACCCTACTTCAAACTAAAATGGAAAAATAAACCCCTATATATTAGAATACTAGAAGTTTCTCAAATGGGAGTTTTAAAAGTTTAAGAGAACATGAAGCATTTCACCCAGCCATATCTTCATGTTGTGCTTATAAATGCAGTTTATGATATGTAGATCAAATTCTACATTAATAAGTGGATAAGTGGATTAAGTGGATTAATAAGTGAATAAGTGGATCAAATTAGAGAAAACTTTTTTCAATTTTGATAGAGATTTGTATATATGTACTGTATACAATCCCCCTGAAGGATCACCTGCAATTACAAAAAATAATATTAATATTTTGGAGCTTGTACAGAAAGATATTTTTCATTTTAAAGATTTAGGAAATATAATGCTTTGTGGAGATTTTAATGCTAGAACAGGAAGCGCAGTTGACTATATATTTGATGATAACATTCAATATTTACCTTTATTTGAAACATATAAAATTGATAATGATATTTCCAACAGAGTTAATAGGGACACTTGCATGGATAAAAGAGGAAAAGAACTAGTAGATTTTTGTATTGCAAACCAACTCCGTATTATGAATGGAAGATGTTTTGGTGACATCTTTGGAAATTTCACTTGCCACAATTATCATGGCAGTAGTGTTGTTGATTATCTTTTAACTGATGAAGAAACTGTACAACATATTTTGTTTTTTGAAGTATCAGATTTTATTTCCACATTATCTGACTGCCACTGTATGTTGTCATGGAATATTTTTTCTCAATATAGTTCTACTAATAGAGAAAATAGCATAGATAATAATCAATGCAAGACCCATTCATCCTTTAAATGGGGAGAAGACTCTGCTATAAAATTTATAGAAGCATTACAGTCCCAAAAAATAAAAGACAAATTTGATAACTCCATGAGCATCAATGACATAGAGTCTATAGAATCAAGGGTAAAAAGTTTAAAAGATTCCCTGGAAGCTGCAGCCATTATGTCATTAAAACCAAATTTACCTAAAAATAAAACATGTAAAAGTAATAAAAGCCCTGCTAAACATAAAAACAAATGGTTCGATAATGAGTTGATACATATGCGTTCAAAACTAGTAAGGAAGGGACATTTATTTGGCCACAACCCTAGAAATATTTATGTTAAGAATCAGTATTATAGAGCATATAGAATTTATAACAAACTACGAAAACAAAAATTTAGAACATATCATTGTAATATTATTAACAAGCTAAATACTTTAGGTTCAACTGATCCAAAAAAATATTGGAAACTTATAGGGGAATTAAGAAATGGAAACAAAGGCACAATTGATACATCAATCTCTAATAATGATTGGATAAACCACTTCAAAAAATTGAATAAAACTCATGAGGATTTCCATGATCAAGATCAGTTTCTCAAAGACCAACTAAAACAAACTGAGGAAACATCTACGCCCATTTTTAATGAACTTGACTACAAAATATCTTTGAATGAAATAAATAAAGCAATCAGCAAACTAAAAAATGGTAAGGCAGCTGGGCCTGACAGAATTTGTAATGAAATGCTGAAACATGGCCAAATGTTTCTTATACCAGTCTTACTGAAAATCTTTAATGCTTGCTTATCTCTTGGCTATTATCCTTCTTCATGGTGTGAAGGATACATTACTCCAGTATACAAATCTAATAACACTAATGATCCCAACAATTATAGAGGAATCACAATTACCAGCACAATTGGCAAACTTTTTAATTATATTCTTAACTCAAGACTAGATAAATATTTACAATGTAATAAAAAAATCAATCCATGTCAGATAGGATTTACAAAACAAGCTAGAACTTCAGATCATGTTTTTGTTTTGAAAACACTTATTGAAAAATATTGCAAATCAAAACAAGGGAAACTATATGCTTGCTTTGTTGACTTTCATAAGGCCTTTGATAGTATAAACCATGCTGGTTTGAAACTTAAACTATTAAAAGCAGGTATCAGCACAAAATTTTACTCAGTTGTTAAGGAAATGTATTCTAAAAGCTATTCGTCTATTAAACTGGGTAACAAATTAATTGGTCACTTTCACACATACAATGGGGTTAGACAAGGCGATAACTTAAGTCCAAACTTATTCAAGATTTACCTTAATGATCTACCTAATTATCTATCAAATTCTGAAAGTTTTGTAAAATTAAACAATGATTCATCTACATCTATTCATTGTCTCATGTATGCTGATGACATGGTGCTTCTCTCCCCCACTGCTGAAGGTCTACAAGAAAAACTCAATATACTAAATACATACTGCAAGGACTGGTGTCTCAAAGTTAATACACAGAAAACAAAAATTATAGTCTTCAATTCATCTGGCAAGCACATCAAAATCCCCTTCCATCTGAATAACAACAATATCGAATGTGTTAAACAGTACAAGTATTTGGGTCTGACAGTTAATGCATCTGGAACACTAACTAGTGCTAAAAATGATTGTTGTAATAAAGCAAAGAAAGCCTATTTCAAACTTCAAAAAGACTTTCTCACATTTAATCCATCAGTTAAAACTGCTTTAAATGTATTTGACCACACTATTAAACCCATTATCCTGTACGGTTCAGAGTTATGGGTTTTTTTTGACCCATCAACTTCCAAATTTAAGAGAAATCCAAATATAACATTAGATAAAATATACCAAACTTTAGAAGGCGAAAGTTTGCATCTTAAATTTTACAAACATTTATTAGTGGTTCATAGTAAAAGCAGCAACTTTGCTGTAAGATCTGAGCTAGGACGATTGAATGTACACTTTGATGTCATTAAAAATATGTTGTTATATTGGCATAGATTAGAGAATCTAGATGGGGAATTTCCCTTACTTAGTGAGGCTTATAAATGTTCCAAAACACTACACCAAAATGGAGTTACTTCATGGTATTCTTGTATTAACTTCTTACTTAACCATATTGATATTAAACTTAGTGATGTTTTAGGTATGTCACTCCCACGGTTTAAAATAAACTTGAAAAGAATATTACTTAACTTCTATAAAATTACATGGGAAAAAGACAGGAATTTGCATAAAGAAGGTAAATTATCTACCTTCACATGCCTAAAGACTAAATTTTGTTTTGAACCCTATCTAGATATTTTAACAAACAATCAACATAGATCAGTCATAACTAGGTTACGAATATCAGCTCACAGGCTTAAAATTGAAATTGGACGATATCAAAAAATACCTAAAGATGAACGATTTTGTTCCCTTTGTGATCTCAAGGAGATTCAGGATGAAATTCATTTTCTCCTTGTATGTCCTCATTTTAGTGTACAAAGACTTGAACTTATAAATATTTGTAATAATAAATGTAAAAATTTTCAGTCCCTATCATATGATAATCAATTTCTTTGGCTCATGACTAATGAAGACCCTGAGATCCTAAGATCTCTTGCTAGATTCCTTGATAATCTACCTTAACTGAAAAATTTAAATATATTTGGGGATGTATATACATGTAGGAATGGCAATATATTATCTCTTCTGTTCTTTAATATGCATATATGTATCTTTCCAGCTACTTGACTATATGTTATTATTATATTACAATATGTATACTCGTATACATCTCTTGTAGATGCATTTATCAATGATTATACAATTAAGCACTGCTCATTATATTTAAGATCATGTTTGTTCTATCATTTGGATCTTCCTCCTTCTTTGTTTCATGTTTGTAAATCTTTTTTTGCTCCTCCGGGGGCTCAAATTGGACTAATAAATCTTGTAAATCTTGTATCTTGTAGTAAAATTACTTATTTTTAATAGGGTCAAATTTTTCATTAATTCACCAATTGAACACAGAATATTGCAGAACAAAATCAATTCTCTATGAAATACATATAATGTACACTGATGTTTATCCTTAAATTTTGTTTCCCATGATTTACTAACTCCAGTAAATGCTCCTGGTAACAGTTTATTAATTCTCAAACAATTTTGTTGTTTTGTTTTGATTTAAAACAAAAACACATGTGCAAAAGGAAATAACCACTCAAAAAATATCATTCATTGCAGTCAACAAGTACACCAGAAAGTACCAACTTTTTGACAATTCCCAAAATTCCACTCACCATTTTTTGGTACATTCCACTTCCAGTTCCTGGTATGAAGCTGTGAACTGGAATTTTGAGGCGTCCTTTCCGACTCTCTGTAGTCTCTTCCAGACACTCATCTTTAATTACATTGTCTGAAACAGAATATACATATAAATGTGTTTTTAATCAAGGATATAAAGGACTTACAGTATATGCTACAGCCAGATTGCAAAATATTGATTGAATTGTTAAGATGGATCAAGATGTGGCTATTGGCCAGTCCAAAGTAGCATATAATACAAAGAAACTAGGCAGATTAGACAGATACTTGCCCTTCCAAATAAATTATCAAATCAATGATTAAAGGACAAAGTGAAATGAAGATGACAACAGTACATGTACAGTGTATTTAAAATAGAAACTTCTGCATTTTGAACAACAATATATGTTGAACTTCAGTATCTCAAACATTGTTATCATATACCTAATTCTAAGGATACCGGTATGTCAATATGAGCTAAAAGTCCTAGCAACCTTTCCTTTATAAACTTTTAACTTCAATATCTCAAATTGCTGGATATATATATATATCAATTTTTTCACATGTTTTGACAATATACATGTAAATTAAATACCTTGGGACATGTAGAAGTGACTTAGAAGACCAAACATATCACTTTTGAGTTCCAAATTCAATATCTGGAACCCTCGAATAACCTAAAGTTTTTCAACAGTCCTACTTTATTCAAGATATTGAATTTTGATTGTACATGTATCAAATACCAATTACCTACACACATAAAATTTTACATTATAGATTTCAATGTCAACTCTATATGTATCACTGCAAGTCCCACATTTTTATGTCCATTCTATTTACTACAGGTGTTTGGAAATAGAATAAAAAAAAATATGTGGCTTGTGATGAAGCTCCCCATGTGGTATTCACAAATCTTCATGTTTAGTTAGCATGGTTATATATAGATCAATTTAATTCAAATTAACAAAAGGGATAAAACTAACTATAGGTGCAATGTACTAAATTTATGGTCAAAGATACCTCTCCCAGTGGTATTGGAAAACATTTATCATTTACAAATCAAGTCCAACAAGGAAAATGATTGGTCATCCATGACATGGCTTATCATGAATAAAAGACGTTCAAAATGTCAGCTAAAAGCATCACATCTATTCCAACAACATAGAAAAGGTCACCTAAATCAGAGCTTAATGACAGTTATTTTGATAAAAATATCTACAAAAATTATGCAAACTCTGTGGGGGTTACTGGGGAAAAAATATTTTTGTCTTTCAAGTGAAAAGCAAATACCAGGGGGTAATCATAAAATGTCATCAATTTTAAGGTCAAAGGTCAAGGTTAACATTAAAGGTTTTATTGAAAAACAACTCATTTTGATTCAACTACACAGAAGCTGGAAGAGTTTTTTTTTAAAATGTCAAATAGATTTTACATAGCGAAACTAAACAATGCAACAGATTCATGCAGAAGAGCATCTTTGACTGTTTAGCATTATGTCATGTGTATTGCACTTTTGATAACTAGTCAAATATTTTCCTTATCATGTGACTTATATTAACTTATGTACCAGATTATATGACATGATGAAAGGCATATGCATAAAACCATTTAAATTCTGATTTTGATAGTATTTAAAGCTAAAACATCTTGCTAAGCCACATCCCAAGACTTTCTATCAAATTGTATACACTGTCAGATACAGTTAGGTATCCATGCACTATATGTTAAGTATCTCTATTTACTATGTTCCTTCACAAAAGCAGCTTCAGGAAGTCCAGCCTAGGAAGTGAATCAACACAATTTCGAAAATGATAATATAAATACTTGATACAAAAAAAAAGTTTCTAAAACTTTACATTTAAGAGTGAATACTTATAAATGTTTATACATCTACTTGACATGTGTAAGACATGGATAATTTCTATCTTATTCACGCAGATTCATGTCAATGGCATATACATGTATGTACTACATGCTAGCTGCTATCTTTTTTTTTTTTGGTTAACCTGCTGTCATCGTAGATAAATGCACACTTCATTTTCCGAAAAGTAAAATAACTTCTGGAAATTTTCAAAGGAATTTTGTTGAAGTAGGTGTTTTACAATGAGGAAACCAATGCTTTGTTATCAAACAGGAAGGGTGCATGTAATTATACAGATTACGGATTTCTTTCTATAACTAGGAAAACTGGATTACATATCTGGCTTCACATGCTTGAAAGAATTCTCATTGAATATTCACAGTCCTGATAAGACAATTTTTGGTGTGGTCTACATTATGACTCATTCATAAACAGATAAATAAATTACATTAATCATTAACCTGGCTCAAAATAGCACGTCATGTACTTAAGTTGATTAGTAAGATTTATCTATATTTATCTATAGAGAGGTTTCCAGTCTAATTTACATCAACATTCCTTTTTAATCAAAATAATCTGTTTATCTTTTTTAATAACTGTACAGCTTCATATAAGCACACACAAAAACTCAGGTTGCATGAAAGTTAGGGATGCGCGATTTTATCGGAATACCGGTATATCACGATTTTTTATTGCGTGATACGTATCGTGATACGAAGTCTAAAATACCGGTATTTGGTACATAACTATAAATATTCATTTGTTTGTTCAATCTATTGAATGACAATTACAGGAAGTGTAAAAAATGTTGAAAACAGTTAAACAACTGCATCCAAACATTCTTTATATTAAATAAATAAATATTTAAACAGTAAAGTTATGTTTTTATAGCATATTTTTAGGAAATATTATGGAAATTCATACGAAATTGTAGTAAAAATTGTATGTAAAAATATCACGATTTATCGTGATATTTTTTGGGGAAAATCGTGATATATCACGATACGAAATTTCTGCCGATACCCATCCCTAATGAAAGTCAGTGTATTTGAACATATTAAAAGCCAAAAGCATTGACCAACTACCTTACACTGTGCACCTTACAGTGCACTTATAAAATAACATTACCTTAACTTTTGTCAGTCAGTCACAGAAAAGCCAAGGGATGATTAATCACACTGAATAGCTAGTTACATATTGATGAGAGAAGTATAATTATTGCATGAATAGATTTAGTTTTTAGTATAAAAATTTCTCATTAATCTCTCTCTCCTTGGTATGAATGTTAAATTATCTCCTTTTTATTTCTCGGTTTATATAGCATTGATATTTATTTTCACAAAATGTACTGGACATAAAGACACTTGCTCTTTCACTACATCCCACACTCGCAATGCTGACATACTGCAGTGTGCAAGAACCTGGTCATAGTAAGGAGATTTAAAGGATGTTAAGAACAACTTATGATTTACTCAAGTTTACAGGAGATCCGTAACCCCCCCCCCCCCCCTCCAACTAACAATAATCGGGTATAGACTGTTTATCTCCATGTTGCCTCATCAACATAATAGAGCAAAAGACAAAAAACTGTAATTATCTATAAATAAGGAGTTAAAACTCAAGAACAGCGAACAGCGTATCCAGACTGGCTTAAAAGTTTTGGGGATACCAGTTTTAATGTGAAATAACTTAATATGGATATCTAAATACGTACATCGACCTCGAGCATCACTGACGGGAAATCACACCACAAGGAGAGATCCATGATAAGTCACGTGACAATAACATTGGCTGACGTTCTGTATAAATTCTGTGCAAGTCGTTTGATGTTTTAAAGGGTGGCAAATAATCGGATTGGTGCAATGGGACACTTTTCGTCAATCTTTGTAACTACATCATTCTATTTATACATAAGTGCAAAATGTACATTAATTTGGGAATAACAGTTTTCCGGATGTCGCTATTTATCTCTACTTTGAGGCAATTAGTGCAACCCTACAATTTTGATCTACTAGCCTGTTCGTAGTTTATTCGTAGACATTTTCCAGGTAAAATACACACGCTAATGATACACACTTTCTTCAATTTTAATAAAATGGGGGGAAATATAATCAGAATTTAACACATATGGAAACAACTGTCCTTTCATACCTCAAATAAATAAAAATTAAAAAAATAACTATAATAAAAAATGCATTTTGTCAACTTTCACAAAATTGTTTTTGTATTTTTAATTCTGAATATACTGGTAAAACACATTACATGTATATTTTCTGGAACACCTCATCTCTCTCATATCAATTAAATATGGAACAATAAAATAAAATCCACTGAGAAATAGAAGAATGAAAGATTTATTCATTTTTTTGGTAAACAAAAATGCAGCAACAATATACATGATATATGTATTAACACAAAAGTAGATTGCACTTTGAAATCATAAGAATCATTTTGAATAAATAAATGTAAAGTTACAGCGTTTGCAAACTATTGAATTTTTTTCCTTTCTTTTCACTGAACATGCAGATATGTTAAGTGTATTACACAAGGGTTTAAATAAAAATTCTAATGATAAATCAATAATAACTATTTGTTAATTCTCAGAATTCATATTGTAAAGAAATGCTATATAAAAATTACACAATCAATCATAAAATATAATAAATTGTGGTTATACATGGCAGCAAAAAAGGCATTAAAGAGAACTAGCTATATATATATATATCTCATAAATTGAAAAATACAAGGGGTGTGGTCATCCACAGACAGTTCCTGCTGTCTTATATAATTATGCTAAATATTAAAAAGGTTGAAAACAAGTGAAAGTTACAATTAAACCTATAACTTTTGTACAATTCCAACAAGTAAAGTACTTGGTTACTCAATCAATAAAGATCTGTTTGCTTTTCAACAACTGAATATAATGACACAAATTTCCTGTATTCATTTGATTAAATGAATTAATTAAATTGTTTTAACATAACTTGAAATAATATAAACTTCATTAAAAATACATATATTTCAACATTTCCAAAATGTATAGAATGTATTGAATAAGCACAATTTTCATGTGCTATCATGAATTCTGAAGTACCAGTATATGTTTGATAATTTAATTACTACATGTATTAAATGTATAATCAGTGATAATGAATGACCTATCCATTTGTGTATTATAAACTCATTGCTGTTAAGGTCAATGTCAATTGTAAAAATTAAATATAATTATGTTATAAAAAATTTTAAAAATGGCTCGGATTAGAAGATATAATGACTGTATACCTATAATTCTGTAAATAACTGTATCTTTATCACAATACTATATTATCACAGAAGAATTTAGAGACTGGAAATGTCACACAATTTGACTTGGGAGGCGTCCTCCAAGCTTTGTAATGGCATCCCTCATTTCGGCATTTTGTTGTCTCAAGCTTTGACTTTCTTCCTGAAGTTCATTATTCCTGCTGGACAAGAAGACAGCATCCTGTATGGCATCCTCCAGAAGATGTCTGTATCGCTGGTCAAGTGCTGCCTTCTGCTCCTCAAACATCTCCCTGTATGTCCTAAAAGTCTCCAGGTGATGCAGCCTCTGAAATTCAAGCTCATCTTTATGTACCTGGTATACCGCATCAAGTTCTTTGATCAGCCTTTCCTTTTCTTGCTCCAAGAGTTGAATCTTCATGGTTGTGACTGATTTTTCTAATTTCATCTCTGCCAATTGGATTTCTAATTGTGCGACTTCTTGAGCACTGTGCGATTTATTTTCAGTCACTTTCAACTGAATGTGTGATTTTTCCGTTTCCAGTTCCGTCTTCATCTTCTCCACTTCGTCAGCTATCATGGCCCTGTTTTCCTTCTCCACTCTTAGCCGCTCCTCCTTCTCCACTTGTTGACGTAGTTCAGTGCTTCCTTTCAAGGCAGTCATTTGGGAATTGACTTCATCTCGTTCTTCCCTCTGCTTCTCTGCTAGATCTCTTAACTGGGACTTGATCTGCTTTAACCCTTCCGATTCCTTCTTCAGTCTTTCTTTGATTTCATGGATGGCTGTCACTCTTTTCTTTGTTTCAGAGTCAGTTAATTTTCCACTGTCCTGATACTTTGAGTACTCAGCAATTTTTTTCTGCAACTCTTCATTCAAACCATCCACTACCCTCCTCTTTTCTGTGTACTGTGCAGTCACCTGATCCTTTTCCTTCTGTAGAAGCAGCATCTTTTCCTGAATCTCTTTGTTTCCCTTTTTCATGTTATCCATGACCCAGTCAAGAATTCCCTTGTTTGCTAAATTAACCTTTCTCTCCTCTTCAAATTTCTTGGACAGCTTCTCTCTCTCTGCCCATGTTGACATCTTAGCTATCTGTAAATCTTGCACTAGATCTTCAAGCTTGTGTACATCATCCCTACTGGGTGTGGAAGTTGATGCAATCTTATCTCTTAACTTTGCAATTTCTTCCCGCAGATCAGCAATGATTTCTGCTGTTTCGTCCAGATTTGCTTTGACATGGTTTTTAGCAGACTTTGCATATGAGGCATACTGAAGTGTGGTCAGTGACTCTTTGTGAGCTTTGTCAACTGGTGAGATGACAGCAAACATCAGGGTAACAGTGTTACCACCAAATGAGTCCTGAAGTACTCGAGTAATTGCAGAATCTCTGTATGGTATATTGCTCCCTTTCTTGGGACCCCCAAGAGCACTAAGGACATTCATTAGGCCCTGAAGTCCAGCAACAATGTGAGTATCTGAGGTTCCCCCAGCCTCGCCCATAGCTAAATCTGCCAAACAAATAACAGATCTAACTCCAACTTTACTGGACTGTCTTGTTCTCTGTTCAACTGTGATGGTGAAAACTGAATGAGCCCTGGCTTGGTTAGCCCTGATATCATTGGTTCCCATTTTTCTAACTCTTGTCCCCTGCTCATACAGCTGACTCATTTCCTCCCAGTTGTGAACCACCATCTCAGACAGACCCTCAATAAAGATACCTTTATGAGGGTGATGACGAATCTTCATTTGGTTGACATGAGGATTCAACAAATCACTCATCTTCTCATCTAAAACCTCCAAGTAGGAAACAGTGATGAAGAACTCCTTGTTGCTCCTCTCACCAATGGCTTGGTAAAGATTTCTCATGAAGCAAGGTGCAATCCCTGGATCACTCTCAGTCCCTGACATTAGATAGGTCTTTCCAGCATTTGTTGCCCCAAGAGCAATAATGCTTACATTGAATCCTTCAAGTGCTCTCTGTAGAATTGGTTCACACCGCTCTTTGTAAATTTGTTCATTTTTTACATCACTGGAATATGCTCCATCAAAAGAAAATGAATGCTCCTTCCCACCCGATTCAATTAGTAATTTGTCTCCTGAAGATTTGACCACACTTTTCACCCCTTTAGTTGCCTCCTCCTGAGTCAGTGGTCTACATCGTCCACACACTTTGATTGGTACACTTTCAGGCATGATGGCAGCTTTTGAACTGCACCTTGAAAAATAAGGGGGAAAAATATTGAACAATGTACATTAGCACAATGAATTACATGATTTATCCTTAACTTAAAAAATACCAAGGATTAACATTGTCTTATGATTATAAATTTGTATTCAGTCATCTTGAAAACTCGTTGTTGCATTCAGTACCTAAATTCTAGTAAGCTATCATTTTTTTAGGGAGTTTAGGGAGGCAAATGCTGAAAAGCAATTATTTTTCCCAATTTTTGCTTTTAAATTCCAAAGCAATGAAAAACGGCAAAGCAGGGTAGTTTTATCATTCATAAATCTCCTTCATAGCCCACAGATTACAATTTTTGCCTCAAAATTGTTAAGTAAACTTTTTTTTTAAATTAAAAGACAAAGGAAGTCCAGTTATACCTGCTTTATCATGTTTATGCACTGGTTTGTTCTTTTTAAGTGTCTTTGTATAAATTCTTTGTATAAAGGTTTTCCCAATTTCAAGCAAATATCTCTATTTTTTCCTAATGGGAAAAGTCCAGGCCCCTGAATTCAAGACCTTTAAAAAAACCTGGCTATGCATTGCTAGATGCAGGGGGGTGGGGGTTCATCAGATCTGGCACAATCTCTTGATTTAGCTATATAGCTAGATTTAGATACCGGTATATATCTTTATTAAGCTATGCAGAATAGCTTGATTTAGCTATTTTATCACACTTTTTTCTTAAATGTGTTATTTTCTCAGCATGCACAAAAAGTCGCACCTTGGTGCAGTGATAATATTCAGCCTTGAACTCTTCTGAAAATAATGCATGTAAAAATCACTCATCAAATTGCATCTCCTTAAGGTCAAGATCTAGTAAATGACTTTAGACTGTGTTTTTGGTGCTAGATCCATTATGACGTCATAAACAATTTAAACTTTTCTTTTCCCGTACTTTACAACTCAAATAGAATTATGAAGAAAATAAAGTATTTTCATGGCATTCAATTTGAAATCATGTGAAAAGTAACCCCGATACCTATATTCAATTTTACATTATTTTAAAGAAGAGGCTAAGAACATACAAATTACCATTTTCTGAGAGACTGTAGGCAATCTGGATGCATTTCCTTTGTCTGATATGGAAAAAACTCCCATATTCATGACTGGCTGTCTTAATTTTTCATTGAAAATGACGGTTTACAAAATGAATTTTCGTCTTGTTTTCCTACAAATTATGCCCCGATACACCTTATTTGACCGAGCTATAGTTATAAAGCATCATAAAAGGAATTTATTTCTCAAGTTTGAGAAATCTGTAGGCTCTTTTCATTTACTAGATCTTGACCTTAAGAGACTTTGTACTCAAAGTTCTAAAAGTTTTGGGGCTATATAAAGCAATTGATACAGTTACTTCTGCAATGAAATTGTAAAGGAGGCCAATTATGGTCAACAAGATAATTGATTGGTAATAATTCAGTACAATGAGAAGCAATCACTTATCCACACTTCAACGCACACAAGGTAGTGTACAGTTACTCAAACAATGGAAATACATCTTTTGCTTAAAAGTATTCAAATGCTGCAATATTAAAACTTTCTTTGATTTTGGTTGTTGTTTTGATAGCCCATAGTACATACATGAATAGTCAAATACTTGTGACTTTTTGTCCATTTCTTACAAAAAAAACATTTTTCTGAAAAACTGGACATAAATAGCTTTATCAGGCTATTTTGAATAGCTTAATAAAGCTATATAGCTATTTCAAGCTATATAGCTAAATCAAGAGATTGTGCTGGACCTGTTCATAGTGGTATATGGGTATAACTCTTTCACCATGTTCATAAAGCTTTGAGTACATGTACTACATGATGTAGACATCTGGACGTACGAAGCGATAGTCAATCAACAATTTACCGGTTTTTCCCCAATATATCGGAATGCATACGGGAAGACTGCGTTTTCATCAGATTTCGAAATATTGCATTCCTAAATGTTACTTGAAATCTGACTTTGCTTGCAGGAGTTATTAGTAAATTTATCATTTGAATCCTTGTTGTTGGAAAACAGCAATAATAAAGAATAGATGCTCCTAAATTAATTTTACAATTTACAAATAAGTCATTCAATATTTACCTACGGCTATTCTACATTCCTTAATGGCTTTTCGCGTTATCTCACCAAGGTGTTTGTAAACACACAAATATTGATGACGTCATAAGTGATTGTAGGACTCGGCCCACGGTCAATTCGGTCCGAGGTGTTTAAGTTAATAAACAGCGCAAAAAGTTTGCCCAATAATAAATGTCTTTATCAAAATTTAATAAAATTCTTTTTTTAGGGGGGGGGGGGAATGTAAACTATTTCGGACGGAGACAGAAATTTTGTTTATATAGTTTTCATATAAATCATCAAGACAAAGGCGTCGGAAGCAAATTGAAAGTGGGCTGGCTATTTGAAAATGGGGAGGGGGGGGGGGCTAAACCAACGAAAAAAGGTAAGCCCCAATTTTCAATGCCTATATTATGTCTATCTTTGCAAAAAAAAGTGAGGGGGGCTAAGCCTCCCCTACCCCCCCCCCTACGGTTCCGAAATATGATCTATGATCTATATGATTTATGATAGACAAATAGGGTTGAAAATATTTCAACTTGTGCTAATTTAAATGTTCACTATCAAATTTAATAAAAACATTTCAGTTATTCCTTTGTCTGTATGGAAGATCCATTAATTCGGGTGCCAGCAATTTTTCAACAATGAAACTGCCATTTAATGCCCACTGGATGAACAAACCTAAAGTTTAGTGTACCTTCCCTTTCTTTAGAAACAGGGTTCAAATCAAAAATCAAAGTTTCCCGATATATGTTAACGCTAGATGAGTGAGGGTTCTTTTTCGTGCCAGCACCTAGTGGGATACGGGACCTCGGTTTATATGGTCTCATCCGAAGGACCGGTCTCCACGTCCCGCAGTGGACCAATTTGAACCCGCGACGTAAGGATCAACTCCTTACTCCGAGACTCTAGAGCAGACGCTCTTACAACTGCCCCATGCAGGCGACGATTCCATAATTGAAAGATGTTTTTTTTTTAAATCGACTCAAGTTGTAAGATAGAAATTACTGTAGTATTATTTTTCTTTATTTTAATAATATACTCATACCTAAACTACTACTGAGAAATATGCATATATTAGTAAAGAAACATTTTCTATCTTCTAAAAGTTATGTGATTTTTGGTATGACACGAATTTTAAAATCAATAAATTCTACAAAAATAGATAAATATAAATTTTAAAAATATATACATATTCATTAACAGCTTATGAAATTTAATATTGTTATCTTAAAAAAATGTTGTAAGATTAGCAGTATAAAGATAACATCATGAGTGACCTTTGATCGCCATGAAGTTATTCTTTTTAAAAACATCAGATGCGATGCCCTTAAGCTTAGACCATGCACTTAGTCCATCTGATTATTATTCCAGACTAACTTTTCATTAAGTAGATAAATCAGGTGGTTTTGCAGACAAATTTTAATATTTTATGAAATCAATCTATAGAGCAAATAAAAATATCTTAGTCTAAACTGTTAATTATTGCTTTTTCTTCAAATGTTGAGATGTATAAATAGTATAAATATATTCATAATATTGTTTTTCTGACTTGATAGTGTTTTAGAAATGAACTGTATTAAATTATAATAAACGATGATTCCCCGATTATTTATAATTCAATAAAACTTGAATAAAAAGTTATATGCATTTACGTTATCCTTCTCAAAATCTTACTTCAACATTCCGTTTGTGAGCAGGACGCAACAGACTGTCTGACTAACGGTAGAGGAATAACTGTATTCATATTTACTCAGCTATAAGCTAAAATGTCCACATCCTATTTTAATATCCGCTAAAATGTTTTTTACATCTTCCGAAAATGTCCACAAATTTTCCGCTAAAACGTCCACTTTTTCAGGCCCGTAGCAACTGTTTCAAAAGGGGGGGGGGGCTTCCCAAAAAATCTGACACCCTTTAGAAATTGAAACAGGCAGATATAGAACTACAGCAAAATACTATACTCAGAAAAGTGTCCCTTCCCCCCTCCCGCGTTCTACGGACCTGCTTTTTCCGCTTAAACGCCCTGTCAAACCGCTAAAATGTCTAATGTCGTTATCAGACAGGTACGATTGACCACTAACTTGGTCGTAGAAAATTTAATAAGAATGTTGCAATATGAATATTACAGAAACAATCATTAAATAAATTATCAAATAAATAAAAATAAAAAAGAAAAAGGGGGATTAGGCAGTTTCACAAAATTTAAATTCTTAAATCTTGCGTTCCCAAAACTCTCAATTTTGGATACTGTCATCAAACACTGAATACGATGGAAGCTAGGGCTCCAGGTAGAATATTAAAATGCATTTAACTAACAGGTGAATCAATGCTTGTCAAGTTGTAAAATATAAAAGAACTATATATATCAGGCCCGTAGGAAGCAATTTCACTATGAGGGGGCACAAACATAACATTTTCAGTTGGGGGGGGGGGGGGACTATCAAGTACCAAAATTTCTTGACAAGCAAAAAATAAAAGAGAAAAAAAAAGATCATCAGACGTTATTATTGAAGGGGCACAAGCATACAGTAGCTATGTTTTCTATAGTATTCTATATATCGGCAAAATTTTTTTGGTGCCCCCCCCGTGCCCCCTCGGATCCTACGGCCATGTATATTCATACTACATAGTTCAGCACTAAAATAAATAAATCAATCAAATTGTATGTTACACACTAAAAGTAAGCTTACATATATGATATTATTCTGAAAAATGTGAAGATCATTATCAATCTTGTAAATCTATTTGCGAAACGTGAACAGGGAAAATAAAATAAAATAAACAATTAATAAATAATGGAATGAATGACTGAAAATAGATAGATAAATAAATAAAATAAAATTAATTAATTAATTAATAATTTTAAATCAATAAATAAACGGGAAACAAGTATGTCGTAGAACTGACGAATAGAAAGGGGGACTGTTATGGTGGAATAGTATGAAAAGAGAGAGAGAAAAAAAGAAAATTCACCCGAGGAGGACTGAACCGTTTTAGGACCGAATCGTCTAGATACCTCTACTATACCCCATAATCAAATATCGTAATTTTTTACTTTTTCCAAAAAAACTTTATTAAACCTTTATGAAATATGCTCGAATTTAGTCTTATGTTATATTCAATAACTTTTGTTCATTAAAATGTGATTAAAAACCATTTTTAATTATACTTATATTTGGGTAACTGGTTGGATCTAGCAGACGAGTTGCAAGGTGCGCGAAAAATGGCGACACCAAAACAGAAAGAAAAGTTGACCAAAGAGAAATCTAAAAAGACGGTGTCTCCAGGTAATAGAATATATAAAGTCTTTGATAGTTATTTTGATTAAATCCAGAAGATGGAAGGGTATCTTTGTTTCATTTCGTAGAGTAAACAAAAGAGTTGGTGGTGTCGGCTGCTATTGTAACAAGGCAACACAAACCCACGAATAGACAGTTCTTGTTGCATTACGCATCGTTAACAACGGTCATCATGTCTGAAAACCGTTACTGTATTTCTTATTCTATTCATTGAATGGCATTTTTATTTCTCTTGGTGCGGAAATTTAACAATTTTTAAACATAAACTTTTTATTCGGCATGGCAGACGCTTTCAAAATGGCGGCAAGAAATCAATTTATGTTGACTATAAATAGACACAAAAATTAATGCTTGAAAAATAAAGAAATGAAATAGAAATAATTTCATTACTATAAAAAATAATAAATTTCACATACAAACAAGATATGTGAATTTGACACAAGGTGCTGACATCTGCAAAGTTTATTTACATTTGGAAAAAGAAAAAATCTTGTAATGTGTGTGATTAAAAGTTAATTTAAGAAGTATCAATATAAAATTTTTTTCCAAATAGGCCTACTTTTATTTTCTTTCTGTTTTTAGAAAAATATATTGTTAAATGAATTAAATCAATTATTAAGCCTATATTTTATGATTTAAATTTTATATTGTTCTTGAGACATGCCAGAATTGCGTTAATAATATTATTATGGAAGTCTTGTGGATATTTTACATTTTGCATGGCTTTATAGTAAAGTTAAATTTGATGATGTGTCATTTGAATTCCTTAAAGAAAAGATGCATAATGTTCTCTTTGTTTTTATTATTGCTGAACTGTAATTCAGTGGCTAATAAAGCAGAAATTACTTTAAAAATTCTTTTAAAATGCTACTAACTCCTCCAGGACCTACATTTTTTTATCCGATGCCAATGAAACTTTTTACATAGACTACAATATGTGTAATAAACATGATTTTGGTTTTTGATCTTGACAAATGGTATTGCCATTGTTTCTAAGAAGGCCATTTCTATGTTTTTTTTTTTCCAAAACATTACTTAAATTTTCCCAGAGCTCCAGATAAGGTGCGTATTTGCAGAAATACGCATTGAATTTTACAAAATACGCATTGAAAATTAAAACTGGGCGTACAGTTACGCATTAGCAATTGTAGATAAGCATTACACCACGAAAGTATACTGCGTGCGACGGTATGAATAATAAAAGTACAACTTAGCTAACGATATGAATTGAGATTAACTCAGTGTTTGATTTTTCTCAAAACGAAATACTGATTTAAAAGCGTTTTATTAACCAGGAATATTCAAGTAATGGCAACGACGATTTTCATTTAAGGAGAAAGAATCAAAGATTTATATTGAAATCGATTTTGTTAAATAGAAAGACTATGCACTAGGCATAGTTACATGTACTTTTAAGCACACAAAAGCTTGTGTCATCTATGCAAGATGATATTGTAACAAGTGTAATACATAAGTAAAGAAAACAGAGAGGACATGGGTAAGGGGAAAAAACCCAGTGAAGACCATATTAAAACCATATCGATAAAAACGAGCTCTGTTTAATTTCAAGACCAATTAAATATAAATAAATTGCTGTAGAGGGACATTACGCATAACATGTATTTGAATTTACCGATCAAGAGTTCCCTTAGATTCTCTAGAGTTTTCTGTTTAGTAGGACGGTTACACACGGTTTGTACACAACGTTTTTTTTTTTTATGATGGGTTCATCTGATTTCTCTCAACTTGCCTTATTAATGAAGATTTTTTATCTCTCGGTTTACTCTTGTTACGATATCATCTTAAATAAAGAAAAAGTTTTATGTGCCTATGGTAACTTTACCTACTGTATGATCTTCATTCTCAAAAAAGAACATTTCTCAGTTTTAGCAAAAAGTCTAATGGGTATTTTTAAAATTTATTTAAATGAATGCAGGAACTGTCCTTTGTAGTTTTTTTCCTTTCCTCTTCTAAACACTTATATTTCGATAACAATCTCAAAATTAAAATAGATGTCAAAACATTATATATTAACAAAATACTCTAAAATCGTGATAATTTTGCTGAAAATCAAAATCTGCATTGATTTGAAAATCAGGGAGTAAATACACTTTAGGGTAAAAAATTATCTGGAGCTCTGTTCTCCTACAGTTTTGGCCTGATTTAGATAAAACCTGGTACACAGGTAAACTACTGTATAACAATGCACACAATTTGTATCTCTGACATTTCTCTGGATATTGCTGACAGTCCACCAAATTTCACTTGCATTTTGAGGTCACTGAGTCCCTGATATACTTTAACACAGCAGCTAAAAAAATAAATGTTGGCAAAATATATGAAGAAATATTTTTTGTTAATTTGGTAGGTTCTGATAGAACACTTAGACAGAGGAAGATCAAGGTGGAAACTGAAGATGAAGACAGCTCATATATGTCGTTAGATGTCTTGGCACAAGTGGCATCTGCTACACTGGAGAAAGAACCCGCAGGAAGCAAGCATAAATCTCCCGCAAAAAGGGTAAAGGGGTCGACTTACTGGAAAGCTGTAATAGCTTAATTGATTGATTGATTATAATTGTAAAATTTGCATTACATATTCTAAAATTGAGAAAAACATTTTACCAAAATTTTGATATATACATAGATGCATGCTTTTAAATTCATGATTTATTGGATATATTTACACAGCTTTGAAACATATATGATGAACTTAAGCTTGTAATTTTTGCAAAATTTGCATTCTAAACAGCTAGAACATTGATTAAAATGAGAAAGACAATTCTATTTCAGATTACAAAGCGAAATGTCCAGAATTTGGAGATGTTTAATTTAGAACAGATCCAGCTCTTATCTGAGAGGTGTCTGGTTAACTTCTTCTCTAAGTTAACATCCAATGAAATCACCAGAAATTTTATATTTACCTGTGCTCTTATGCCAGACAAATGCGAGGTCCAGTACAAGAGTTTTGGTAATGAAACTCAAGCCAGGCTGAGGATGAAGAAACACCTAAATGCTCACATTCAGGATCTGCTTAAAGAACAAAAAGGTAACATTATCAATAGCTTTGCATATATTTGAATCTGGCCTCTCCAATACGATTAATGTTTTCATGTTTAATCAGAGGACATAGTCTTGTCCTTATAAGCTGTTAATTTATTGTACTGTAAAACACACTTTTAACGAAGTGCCAGCGATGGACGATTTTGCTTTGTTATAAGATAATTTGTCATATCCATCAAGTTTACAACATATTTTAAAGTCTCAGAGAATTAAAATCACTATAAAGCATGCAATATGTTGATGGTGCAACCGTAGGGGCAAGCGCAGTTGTGGATACCTATTCACTTTTAACTTAGATCTGCCTTTTCAAACTGCACAAGACATATGGAAAGTCTAGAATGTGACGTTACATGACATATGTTAGTTGCATTTCCATAATGAGGTCTGAAATTTTTAACAAAGAATGTTTAATCTGTTATCTATCTGCAATATACATTAAGCAAATGTTAAATCGAGGCAAGTTTATTTTTTGATGAACTTAAGTTGTTACCATCAGAAGGTAGTTTATGGTGAGATGCAATTTGCAAAGGATTGTGGATCCATAGAATACTGTTGAAAAAAAAATTCATTTGGATCAATGTGCAGTTGGAATTTTCTTCTGTCAGTAAAATTTTATTTTACGCTTCACTTTAGATGAATAAATCAAATACTTTTAGGTATAGTCAATGTTAGATTGATGTTATTTAATTTGACGTGTACTTATTGAATGGAAATGAAATGTCTGTTGAATGAATTGATCACTCGAATCAAAAGTGAAAGTACATCGTTATAATCAATACATGTATGGAGGTTTAAGACTCCAAATTTACATGCCTTTTGGGCTTGTAAGTGTGCATTTTCCACATGCCTGCCTCCAACTTTACCAGGTCCTGGGCATCGGACTCCCGGGATTTGTTGAAGACTGGCCTGTAGCCGTTAAAGCAGTAAGCTTCAGCTTTATCTTATTGTAAATGTTTTATCTGTAATTTTAGATCCTAAGAACAAGAACATGCAAGAGTTTGTTGCTGAGCCAGTGCATGTGAAAGAAAAACGACAGAAAGGTAATTGCTTTATTGCAATCCTATTTTGTTTGAATTTTTTTAAAATTACAATTCACAACACTTCTAGATTGCAAAAAAACATGTTTTCAGCAACTTTATTATTATTTAAACTTACTATTATCTTGAACAAAGCATGTGTAGTTACATGTATTTACTTGCATAGAAATCTCAGGACCCAAAAGGAAACCAACAACAGGTAGCAAGAACTATGTGTACAACAGAACCAGTAAACCTAAAAGAAAGAGATACACAGAACTTGATGCTCAGGTTCCATCTGACCAGAATGAATTGGTAGATGAGGCTGATGTACAAATGGAAAGGGTGGACGGTGATGACAAGGAAAGCTTAATACAGCAGCACTTTTCTGAGAGAAGCTTTATGCTTAGAAAATATGCACACAAACAATCAACTCGATTACAGCAGAAACTAATGAAGAAAGGAGAAACTACCAAAGAGGTCACGATTGAAGGTGGGGAAGAGAGTGATGTCGGTGACGACACGGAGAAAAGAATTGAAGAGAACGAGCAATTCATTATTGAGTTGTTAAGCAGAACTCAGCCTCATCATGATCATGGCTACACAACCATATTTGGTAAGAAAAAAGGAATAGAAGACATTGAATTTGAGAGTAATGAGGAGGAGGTAAATGACAGTACTGACTATGGTCAGATTTATGGGAAAACTGGCATCATCATCCACCCAGACAGGAAGGCGGAGCCTATCCTCTGTCTGGGCAATGTGTCTGTTATGGATGAACTGTCAAGCAGTGGAACGAGTACAGATGAAGCCTCAAAGACAATAATTGTGTGTGCTGAAGAGATTATTGATGAGAATCCCGAAGAAGAGATCAATCTAGTGGAGGGAACAGAAAAAGTGGGAGACTCCGGAAAACGTAAGATCTTTTGTTCACGAATTTCTTTTTTGTTCTTTGTCAACGAATAATCTGGATATAGTTTCAGTCAAAAAAAGTTAACTTGTCGAAATACTAAAATTTCACTTCCATCATGGTATACGAGTTTGACAGTATTTATTGATGGTATGATTTGATATAAATCAGTGGTAAATGGAATCCTCTCTTAGAAAATGAAAGAATCTGAGGTATGTATGTTTTGTTTTGACTGTTCTCATTTTCCAGTTTTGTGATTTTACCTGAAAACACAGTTTGTTTTCAGTTAATGTTATTTTTTTCTCAATATTTCAGAAATACTTCACTTCATTTCTTAAAAATTGGAAAATGTTACTGAGTTAGATATTCGTTCTTGTTTTGTTTGTGAATAGGCATTTTCTTTCTTTTTTTTTTTTTTTAGCTCACATTAGCCAGAGGCTTGATTGAGCTTTTCTGATCAAAGTTTATCCATCTTTTGTCTGCTGTTGTTGTGGTTAAAGTTTACATTTTACATACAAAACTTCTTCAGTAGAGCAATTTCCTAAAGAAAGGGGGTTCAAGTTTGTTTAAAAAAAGAGCCAAATCTTTATGTATTTAAGTGGAAATGAAAAAAAAAATGTTAGTAGTCAAAATCATATGCAAGCATCTCCAGTCATATAAAATCAAATTCATTGAAGTCATGACCCCTGGGACTAGAACTAGGCAACAATGCATAGGAATTAATATTTAGGAAAAATCTTGGAATACCATCTTGTGTATAGCAAGACTATTTTTAGACAAGTTAATCTACTAAGTATCCTAATGAAGTGCAAAATAATTGACCTCTTGGTCCAGGTTAGGACCACAGTGGGGTTCAAAATTATCATGCAAAGTTTGGTCATTCAGACCTAATAAATCCCTGGAAAATTTGGTCGGGTAAAGATAAAAAGAAATGATTTTTTTCTTTCTTTTTTTTTTTTCAGTTTGTAAAAAAACTGATTTTTAAACTGTAAGATAAAATTGTTTTGCTTATATTGTATGAGAGAGTTAATCATTCATAGGAATGACACAAGTGTTAGTTAAAACAAGTATTCCTTATTTGCAGGACCTTATCCACCCATGCCACGGTTTCCTGGTGCTTGGAAAGGAAGAATAGCAGATGATGAGTTGTACAATGATGATGAAGATTTCAGTATGTTGAGAAAACGAAGGAAAGTGGACAAAGAAGGATCTGCAGAATGGGAAAGGGTTAGTAATTCTTAAGTGTTCCACAAGGGAACATTCATTAGGGCCCATTGCTCTGCCCTATAGTGGTCACTCTGTCTGTCCATCTGATTTCATTTGCCTGGAGCATATTTTCTCTCCTGTTGGCCCAGTCGGACTCAAAATTCACCAATAGATTGCACATGGGTAGAGGGTGTGTGCAGTGACCTTTATATCCAATTTTGTAGAGCAAAGTTCAAGGTTGAAAGACCTATGTGTAAAAAAAATCTTGTCTGTAGTGATTTTGTCTCCCCTAAGCCCAGTTGGGTTTAAACTACATTCATAAAGTGCTCATGGGTACAGGGTGTGCAGTGACCTTGATCCATTTTTCTAGATGAAAGGTCAAGGTCAGAACACATCTCTTTAGAAAATCCTTGTCTGGAGCATATTTTCTTTCTCCTTAGCTCAGTCATGCTCAAACTTCACCTAGAGCCATGGGTAGAGGGTATGCAGTGACCTTAACCACTTTTCTAATCAAAGGTCAAAGAAAATCCTCTTCATGTTTAATCATTGTTCAGGACATATTTTCTTTCCCCTTGGCCCAGTCAGGCTCAAACTTCAGCTGTAGATTATCCATGTGTAGAGGGTGTGCATTGACCAATTTTCTAGATTGAAGATCAAGGTGGAAAAAAAAATAAAAACCTATATAAAATCCTTGTCTGATCATGTTTTCTCTCCCCTTTTCCCAGTTTGATTCATACTTCATCCACGGAGTGCCTGTAGGTAGAGGGTATGCAGTGACCTTAAATCAATTTCTAGATGAAAGGTCAAGGCCAAAAAACAAAAAATCTCTGTGAAATCTTTTTCTCTTCCCTTGGCCCTGTCTGGCTCATAACTCACCAATAAGAATGCACATTGGTGTGCAGTGTCCATAAGCCAAGTTTCTAAGTAAGTGGTTAAGGTTACAGCAAAGCTCTGTCAAATATTCTTTCTTTGGCATTTTATCTCCAATTGCCCCATCTGTAAACTTCACTCAAAGAATGCCCATGGATAAAGGGACTTTCACCCTAATATCCTTTGCCAGAAGTGGGTCTATTTGCGATGATCACTATCTCAATGGTGATAATGTTATGTATGTTTAGATTTAATAAGTTTATAGTTTAAATTTGAAGTTTAAATCCTTTTATAACTTTATCTTATCACTGACAGTTATAAGTATAGAATTGAATCAAACATGAATAATTTATCAGAATACCATTTTGAAGATTTATTTTACACAGGTATGGTAATCATCAACTCTTTTTTTTTTTCAAACAGAAAGCAGCACTGAAATGTATAAGAGAATTGAAAGGGAAAAAGAAGGATGACAAGCAACCTCTGTATTGCAGAATTTGTAAAGACAAAACTTTTACTGCTAGTGCTACTCTTATGTATCATTACAGAAGTCATGCAGGTGAGTGAGTCCTTATTATGTGTGTAGTGCTACTCTTATGTATCATTATAGAAGTCATGCAGGTGAGTGAGTCCTTATTACTTGTGTAGTTCTACTCTTATGTATCATTATAGAAGTCATGCAGGTGAGTGAGTCCTTATTACGTGTGTAGTGCTACTCTTATGTATCATTATAGAAGTCATGCAGGTGAGTGGGTCCTTATTACTTGTGTAGTGCTACTCTTATGTATCATTATAGAAGTCATGCAGGTGAGTGGGTCCTTATTACGTGTGTATGTCATTAAATGTAAAGCCAGTGATTTTTTTAGGGCCGATTTGGGGCCGAAATTCGGCCCCAGTCCCAATTGAAAATATGGCTGTATTTTCCTAAAATGTAGTGGAAGTTTTCCCAAAGAAAAACTTACAAAATATTTGATCAAATTAAGTTTGTTTATTGCATGTTTTTCAGTGAAGTTCAAGCAGGTTTTGTTGTTCAGTCATGTTGGATTTCTTCATAATTAGATAATTCATACCACTATTGTTCTTGATGCAAGTAATTAGATAATTCATACCAAGAATAGTCTTGATTTGTTGTAACAATTGTTTGTTAAAGTAATATAAAGACAAAAACAAAGCTTTTTGACAACGCTTTTTAAGAGACTGGGTTTTCTGGGAGATTCCCAATTTAGCCTACATTGACGCTGAAACTCCCAATTCTGAGGGCCCCAGCCCCCAATCCCAAAGTACTGAAAAAAAACACTGAAAGCTGTTTCACAAAGTGTTTAGCATTCAGTTTTTAATGTCAGAGCCTGGTAAATACTGTTGTACCTTGCCCCGGCTGGTGATTATCATGGTATGGCTGCCATACTATGGCAGGCCAAATACTGTACATCAAGAATCTTTCGTGCACGATATATTCAAAGATAGATGTTGCTAAAGTATATTGTGCAATAATTTTTTCCCAGATTTTTTTTGTACATACTTCTTATACAAATTATTCATCCAGAACTTAGAAATCTTTCACATGTATATTCTTGTACATACTTCTTATACAAATTATTCATCCAGAACTTAGAAATCTTTCACATGTATATTCTTTTGGACAACTTAATTCTTTAGAAATCAAATTCTTTATTAGAACAAGCCTAATCATGCCATCTTGTCATCATCAAATTAAAAAAAAAAACTGAAGCAGATAACAAATTAATATAAAATGCACAGTTGGTCATATTATTGCCCCTCCCTTATGCTTTGGATTGTACTTACTGAATGTTATGTACAGCAGAGGTTAAGTAGATACATGTACATGTTGTTTTATAAACTTTTTGCTTTTAGCTAACTTTGAAACCCAGTGTAACAAACATCACAGCATCATAGCTTCAAGGTCATTAAAGGACGTGGATCTGTTGTTCTTTCAAGTATTTCTTGTTCTATTTGCAGGAATAAAACCATTTGTGTGCCTTATTTGTAACACCACATTCACAAGGCAGCACAGTTTGAACTATCATATGCTCATCCACAACAATCAAAGCAGATTTACTTGTAAGGATTGCGGACGGAAGTTTAGACATCCCAGTCATTTCAAGGTATTAAAATTATTAGGTAGAACATCTCAAATACAAATATAATTGTATGTTTATTGTAAACCAATATATGTCGAAGCAAGTGGATGCCTCCCCACAATAACATAAATTCTGATCTCAACTTTGATATATTTAACCCTTGAAAGGTTGCATATATGCATATATGTACATCTAAAAATTTTGCTTAGCCTCTGCAAAGTAGAAAATATCATGACATACTACATATCGTGTAAGTAGAATTTTTAGCGAGACACAAATTTACCGATTTTTCTCAAAAAATTGGTATTTGATTTCAGCGAGAAGTAATTTTAGCAGTTTTTTTTACGCCTTGAAAGATATCAGTAACCTCAAATGTGAGAGTAAATTATTAATGATACTGAATATTAGCAATTTCAACACCCTCGCTAAAAGTGCCAAAATTGAATCCTCGCTGAAATTTCTTGTACGATATAATTCTTGGAGGTCAGATATTGACAAGCTATACCTTCACTTTTGGTTTGAATTTTTCAAGACAGAATTTATATAGTTTTGATTTTAATGTAGACTGTGACCATTTACTTGTATGTTTCAGGAACATTTAAGAAGGCATACAGGAGAAACTCCATTCGTGTGTACAGATTGTCCTCAAAGGTTCAAAACAAGAAATACGTACAAAAGACACTTAAAGACCAGGCATGGAAAACTCCTAACAGCTGATGGAATACGGTGGCTAAGTGTTGAAGAATTTGCAAAAATTCGCACAAAGCCATACAGGCGGAGTCCCGAGCGTCAGAGGAGAAAGAGCAAGGAACAAACCATTCTTCCGTCCCGGCGGTCAATTGATGTTGAGGGTCAGTCAGACTCGGACAGTAGCACTATCTCTGTGACAGGTGACTTGGATGAGTTAGTGGATATTAAATTGGAGATGGATCAACCTTTGGATTTAGGAGAAAATCAAGCTGATATGTTGAGTGAAGTACAAGATGTGGATGACCAAGATCAAAAACCTGTCCTTGACGATCTTCGCAAAATTATTGTTCCATTTGGAGTCAATATTGCAGTGAATTCATAGCAAGTGAATCAAAAGTCCTTTGTTCTTGACTAGATCTGAAAAATATTGCTTATAGCAAAGTTGCCTTGTAGATAAGCTACAGATTTGCAATATAAATTCATTATTTCTGGGAGCAAACAAATTTTGTATTATCAATTATTAAATTTTAATCACATTTTTGTACCTCATACAGAAATCTCATTTGTATAGATTGTACTTTAATTTGATCATTACTGAAAGATTGTTTTGACCATAAGTTGTACAGTTATGATGCATAGTTTTAGTTCTTTTTTGTACAAGAAGAAATCATAAAATTTGGTATATAATGCACTTTTTTTACAGAGTTTGTATCATACAATATACATGTAATTTGTATGGAAGTACTAAGAAAGCACCATTGATTTTCAGTGCAGAAGTGATGCTTATTACCATATTGCTTAAATCAGCATATATTCAGGCAATCAAAATATGTAAGGAAAGAAATTATGAATGTTATTGTGCAGTTTTGGTTTTAAATTCATTACTTAAAGGATTGTTTTTTTTAACTTAAAGATGAGATTTAATTAAAACAAGAAAGAAAATTGTTGTTGTGTAAAGATGCACCTAAATTTTTCAGAAAATGGGTGCTGTCCATAATTATTTTTTTGTAAAATTAATATGTAGAACCATTGAAGTTCAAAAAGAGCAGATAGACCAAATGATCTGAATTTTACCTAAGTGACAAAATAATCTCAATTTACGTGCAGATCCCAAGAATTTGCATGAATTTCATCTCATATATAGATTAACGTACAATTTATGAAAATGTGGCCTTGAAGTTCAATCAGTACGTTATTCAGACAAAACAACTAGTTTGGAGTAGTTCACTGTCTACGACTTTCATACAGTGTGATGTTACCATATTTAATTAGCTGTATTCTCACACAGATTAATTATAATTAAGTAAAACGATAGCAACAAGTGGAATTTATTTTGAAGGAAAAAGGAACAAATTGATTAAAATTTTCATTTGTCTGCTTGACACTGAATCATTTTATTTGATAATATTTTTATGTCATTAAATAGCACTTTTTTTTTCAGACTGCTTGATGTATATATTATTCACTCATTGCATGTTTTGTACATGTATATGTATAAAATATCAGATATGCTTGTATTATATGTGATGTGAAAAAAAATAGCCGTATTCATTTTAGATGTTACTTTAAGTTTTTATTTTTGAACAAGACATATTAAGGCCAGATTATTATTATTATTTTCTGTCTAACATATGCATGGGGATAGTTCTTGAAGCCTTACTTTCAGAAAACAAACACATATATTTATCTACCCATTGAGAATTCTTGTTAAAGTTGCATATAGTTAATGTTAACCAAATATCATGATGATTGTGATGTTTCTGAACTATGAAAAACATGTATGTAAAATTCAAAGTTTCTTTATGAATATTGTTCACTTGGATTTACATGTATGTAGTTATGTTGTCAAATCCAGAAAATTATAGTTTGAGAAAACTTGATATTTTGTAGAATCAGTTCCTTCCAAATGCTAATAAAATCAATGTTTTATTTTGAAACAACTGATGCTATACATGTATAACCAATTAATCAGTTGGAAGAAGTTTCTGGTAAATAATTAACAGTTGAATTCCATTGACATCCCTAAATATATGTAAAACATTACTTAAGTTACTTTGTACAACTTTGAAGTAGAATGGTGAATAACATTTATTATTGTTACTTTTTGGTTAAAACACTTTTGAGTAAAATTCTGCTCTTTAAAATTGTTAAACAAATTGGGGTTTATAGTTGAAGGGACAAAGAGAAAGTCTTAGACCGAAGAGAGAAAATGACTACAGAATACTGTATTGATAGTGCCATTTATAATATTTTGTACTTATATACTGATATTATGTTCCTTAACATTTACTTTTTTGGATCTGTGAAGCTTGTTCATATTAGACCGTTTTCAAAAAAATGAAGACAAGCTTATGCAATGGTAAGGTGTTCATCTGTCGGTCTGTAAATAATCCTTCACAATGCCACCCTAGCTACAGTTTTGATCAATTTTAATAAAACTTAGTAAACAAGTAGACGTACAATTCCATTCAGCACCAAGGCTTACATTCAGTTCAGCAGTTTTTGATTTAAATGATCAGCTGTGGTTACAAAAATAGTAATTTTTGTGAAATAAGTTTTTTGATCTAATTGTTAAAAAGATTGTACACAAGTATAGTTGAGCCAAGATTAATTCTCTTTATCAGTTTTTGATCTTGAATGTTTTGGCATTGCACCTACATGTATAGTTGTACATCTCTGTGAAATTCTTTCAAAACTTTTTGATCAGATTTAAATAAACCTTGATGCATAAGTAGACCTAACCAATGCCACATTTTTTTTATATGTTTCCAAAAAATCAAAATGCTAAACCTCATATGTATTGATTTGATTTCATTAAAACTTGGTACAAACTTAGAAAAAAAATCAGGAAAGAAGTACTGTAAACCAACTTTTACTTGCATGCAACAAATGTCCTTGAGTTTTATGGTCTTGCCTCAAACCTATTGTTAAATTATATAAATGTAGATTATTTTCTCTCGTGAAAATCAATAGTTGCAGATAGATATAAAATTGAGGAATTACAAATAAAAGTTGGGTTATAGTACATATATTATAGTTCTGTAAATAATAATTAAGCTAAATTCAGTTGCTACTTTTCTCCTTTTTTTCGTAAATATAAATAAAAATCAGTAGAGCTACAGCCTTATCAGAGAATTCTGGTTATATTAGTAAATCCAGTAAATTGTGTGAAAAAAAAAATCAAACATTGAAAATTTATAAAACATTTTGTTGATAATAGATTGTTATGTATATTCCACAATATTATCAGGGTTGTATAGCTATGAATGCAAGTGTTAATAAATTGTTACAGTTTGTACATACAATAATTCAGCATCATGTCTTTTGATCTTGTGTTTTGAATGAAAGTTGGAAGAGAGTACTTGCACAAGGAACATTAAGCTCAACTCGGTATGAGTATAGGCCATCAACAGGACTGGACCCTTTTAATGAGAATATTGTATAGAGGCTCTGAAACATGCTCGTTGGATAAGAGTGTTCAGAATGATGCTGATTGAATCAGAATGAGAGAAAAACTTGATTTTTGGATGAGTTGACCTTGTCAAGCACTAAATAATAAATAGAAATTTTAGAAATAGTTCAGGATTGGGGCTCTTTTAGCTTTCGTATCCTAATCTTCTGATAAACCATATCGTGGTTTGGTATTTTCTATCATTTCTGTCAGTTTTTTTATGCCTCCGCCATAAAATGGCCGGGGGCATATAGTGTTACTCTCTACCGTCATTCTGTTATTTCGTCATCATTTACTTTCCATTCATTATCTAGGCAACAGTTGCACACATTCAACTGAAATTTGACTCTTGGATACGTCATAGGAATAGGTCAAGTTCGAATTTGCTCATGGTCTGATGACTTTTTTTTTCAGAGTTATCCCTCCTGAACTTGGAAAAAAGAAGAAGAAATTTTCAGTTTTTGCTCTCTGACTATTGTAGGGATGTATGTTTAAGGTTGAAATTGCATATACAGGTATTTTATCAGAAAATGCAGGTCATATTCGAATTTGATCATGGCCCAATGATTTTTGACAGAGTTATCCTTCTTGAACTTTGAAAAAAATAAGAAATTTTCAGTTTCTGCTCTCTTACTTTTGTGGGGATGTATGTTGAACCTTCAACCTTCAAACTCCAAGGTCAAAGGGTCAAATTTGTTGGTATCCAAAGGAAAGTCTTGTCACAAGGATTACATATGTGAAGCATGAAAACCCTAGCACCAACCTTTAAAAAGTGATGGCCAAGGTTAAGGTTTTTTAAAAGTAGGTAAAACTCCAAGGTCAAAGGGTCAAAGTTGTTGGTATCCAAGGAATACAAATGTGAATTATGAAAACCATAGCTCCAACCAATCAAAAGTTATGGGCAAGGTTAAAGTTTTTGCGGACAAACAAAAAGGCAGACAGACAGGGCAAAAACTATATGCCACCGAATCTTCGATTACGGGGCCATAAAAATAAGAAATTTTCAGTTTCAGCTCTCATACTTCTGTAGGGATATATGTTTACAAAAAATTCACAAAATATTTAAACTACCATCTTGTGACACAGTGTCTTAAAAAGTATAGAGCCACCTTAATAAGGTTTACATTGTATAGTTTTTATGCCCCTGTAATCGAAGGTTTGGGGGTATATAGTTTTTGCCCTGTCCATCCGTCTGTCTATCTGTTTGTCCGCAAAAGCTTTAATCCTGCCCATAACTTTTGATTGGTTTGGAGGTATGGCTTTCATATTTCACGTGTATTTCTTGTGACAAGACCTTCCTGTTGGTACCAACATATTTGACCTCTTGACCTTGGAGTTTGACCCAATTTTGCAAAAAATTACCAAACTGTAACCTTGGCCATAACTTTTGAACAGTTTGAGCTAGGGCTCTCATATTTCACGTGACAAGACCTTTCAATAGGTATACATATTTTTGACCTTGACTTTAAGTTTGACCCACTTTTAAAAAAACTTTAACCTTGGCCGTAACTTTTGAACAGTTAGTACTAGGGCTTTCAAATTTCACAGGTATATTCCTTGTGACAAGAACTTTCTTTTGATACTAACAATGTTGACCTTTTGACCTTGGCGTTTGACCTACTTTAAAAAACTTTAACCTTCGCCATATTTTTTGAACAGTTGGTGTCAGGGCTTTATTATTTTTCATGTGTACTTCTTATGACAAGGTCTTTCCCTGCATACTATTTATATTGACTTTTGGCCTTGACCTTGGAGTTTGACCCATTTTTAGAAAACATTAACTTGGACCATGACTTTTGAATGATTAGTGCTTTGGCTTTCATATTTACCAGGTATATCCATTCACACGAGTCCTTTCTTTGGGAAACAACATTTTGTTCTCTTGACATTGACCTTGGAGTTTGACTTACATTTGGGAAACTTTAACTTTCACCATAAGCTGCCATATGGGGGCATCAGTGTTTCACAAACACATATTGTTATCTTAGTTATGCCAGGGGAACTTAGAAAAAAAATCTTTTGTGCAAACAAATTTAAAATTAAATATGGCATTTGAAATTTTGGCTGCCTGCGGGGGCATTCGTGGCGTTACGACACATCTAATTTTGGTGTAAAATGACTAAAATCTTCAGT